TACATTATCCATTAGTGCACACGATTGACCTTTCAGAAAAGGACAATAATTGTCTGGGGAAAGTTGGACCGCAGACCCTCCTCAGTTGATAGTAAATTCTGATTCATAAAGTGACGTAGATTTGATGCAGCTGTGTTACCTGCCATTAGCACTTACGCCCCTCAGACAGCTGATTCATATGTCGAAGTAGGTGTGATTATGCGCTAAAGCGACCGCGTCTGATATACTTCCAGTTTATTGGACATGTAGTAGGTCACACTTTCCGTGGAGAGATCGTGATGCTCTTCCAAAAATGCGGCGCTCGAAAAAGTCACGCCGAAAAACTAATGCAACGCTCAGGGGAAGTAGACTGGTGGCACATATGGAACACCATAGAAACCAGTCTGCCTTGCCATGGCTACGGCCGGGTGTGTGGTCATGATGATGTCACAAGACTTACCGGATGGCGCCTCATTCAAAATGCCGGTAACCACAAGCCCTTCCCAGTGGACGACAAAATACCTTGTTCTACTGATGACCATTACAACATCCGTTATTAATTCAAGAGATGACCACGGTCGTGCACCCCAAGTTCATTCCCACTCAATTTCAATACTTGCTGCACATAATTATATATTACAAGCAAAGATAATGTTTGTCGCAATGTACGGTAGGCTTTCATTAAAAAAAAAAATTAAAATAAGTGTCAGGAAAATATAAAGAAAATACAAGGACTTTGACAATGCTCCATCTTCATGTCTGATTTTCATGTTTTTCTTAATTGAAATGAACTGTTCAAAACGCAAGAAAAAAGGGTCTTTCTGATATTTTATCAGTAAAATAAAGTACAAAAAATACTTGTACTGTGCTCATATTGACGTTCCAGGTTTCCACTGGAGGCCAAAAAGGCCGAATCACTAACAAGCTATACGAATTCTCTTTTCCAGTGCCATCCTGACTACTTGCATTTACAGCAGACAAATTAAGACGCCGCAAAGTACAATAAATATAAGAATGTGATCCTCGTGAATTAATCTGAAGATGAAATGAAACCTGATGGCATAAATTCAAAGTCAAATTCTTCATCAAACTACCCAGACGAAAGTTTGGGACAAAATGGATGTATCTATCGATTGAATGTAAATGAGCTGGCGCTGTTAAATTGGGCTCGAGCAAATATGTTTACTTTCAAAAGTGACCACTACCGCCGACATTTTTTACGACTATATACTGAAGCTCGTAGTGTTTTCAAGTCTGGCCCAGAAATAAAATAACTGCAAAGATAAGTACAGTGTAGGCTTACAGTTATGCACGGTATTTTCTTTTTTTTTTTTGTTTCAAGTAACCAAATTAACCATACCTGCCAAAACACAAGTCACGTGACACAGTAGCCTTTTCGTTGAGCCATTTCTATTGGTTTCGACACGTCTTTCATTATTGACGGTTTAGTCTACACTTCGTTCATATTATGACTACGTTCCATCTGATTGAGATACCGTGAGCGGAGGTGCGTTGAGTATACCTCGGGGAGCGGCAGATTTCCTTGGGACTTTCCCGCAGATCTTCTGCCTCATGATCTTTGCTGAGATTGTGCTTCCTATCTGGGTGTGTGTGTGAGGGGGGTGGTCGTTGCTTTGTTTTAGTTTAATGTTGCTGAAAAATGATCAAACGTAGATCATCGTTTCTTCCTGGTACGGTTTGTGACTGCCATCATTCGGGAGCATATGATATAGGTCATTTTCTAGAGAAGCAGTTGGCGAACAGATTGGACAATCCAAGCACGTTAAAATCTACATTAAAATCGAGGAAGTCACGAGAGCTATACCAAAATGGATTGTTTTCAGCTGAAACTAAAACAATTTGCCCCAAAGCTTTTATATGAAAAGTTTTTGTCAAGTGAACGTGCGACAGCTAAAAGCAGTGGGCCTTGCTGCCAGACACGCATTTCTGATCCTCGTCTTTAGCTCAGCTCATCAGTAGAATTTAGAGCTAAATAACAATAGGTCATTCAAAAGATAAACGAAAAATTGGGGACATGGCCGAGTCACTGGCGATTAATAGAAGAAACTATCAGTCTCCTGTCTGGTCTACGCCACCGTTTGGTTATTTAGTTCACCATATATCAAACCCATAAAAACTGTCAAGTGGTGTATTGTTTCAAACACATTAAGTATATGAATTGTGTTTTACTAAAGGGTCAATTGCAGATCTAAATTTTACGACTGGAGGATGAAAGGGCAAAATGACGATTTTTTTGGGGGGGGTGCCCCCGTTTTCCGTTCATGAATTTTCTTCTAAAAGCGCGTGAGTATATGGTTTTAAATTTTGAAAAAAAAAGGCTCAGTTGGCGGAGTGGACATACCAGCTGGTATGCATGATTGATGACTCCTGAGCCGAGGGCAGATTGCCTGAGGCAAATCCTTCCGATGTATCGCAACGAACGAACCTCATGTGGCAGAAATCTCTTTGATTAAATTAATGAATTTGAAACTTACAAATGCAGAAAGTTCAGTTGTTTTTGTTTTCTAAAATGATTTGCAAACATGGCAGTCAAATAGATGTGCCTCACTGTTCTCAGGAAAAGTACGTTTTACCCCAATGCAATGTGCAATAAAAAAAATCGGAAAGTCAGGCGTAATTTTTAACATCTTCAAGAAATCCAAAATACTGTGGTTGAACTGCAGTCTGCTTAAAAGTTAATTTGAAAAGGGATAGTTTGCTTATTTTGAGTAGTAATTAAGATTCAAAATAAGGAATGAAAAGTTGCAAAGGATATTTTGTGTTGTTGGACTTTCTGAAGACTTTTAACATTGGGGCTCATGCGTGTTGCAAGGGCGAAGGGAACTAAAAGGCACGATTTCATTGCTTTAACAGGTCCCATCTCTATGTATCCTGATTGCGACTACTGTGTACAAGAGAACTTGGAAAAGTCAAGAAGTGCTGAAGCGATGAGTGTTGCATACCCTTTCTCACCAGAATTCTGTTTTGCTTTGAAGATCCACCAACTGCTAGGATGTCTAAGCTCAGACCGATACTTCAGGTCAATATCTGTGAAGAACCGTTCCACCAAAAATAAAAACAAATACGCTCAGGTCAACTGAACATATCATGTGCATTTAGATTTCAACGAGTGAAATATATGCCTTACAAGTGTACAATTTCTGGCCACAAGTTGCCTTGACGTGTGTGTCAGTTGTAGCCATGCGTCGAAGTAACCGTGCAATGAACAAGCCTGCCACATGAGTACAGTGTCAACATTGAGAAAGTCATTTGAAATATTCTGCGGAAAGTTCCAGTTCTAAACTTTGATCACGTTTACCTTCAGTATCTCCATCCGATCCTACATGATGGTCAAAACCGCACTCCAACAAAAAATGTCTCGAAGCCCGTCGGTCGACGTACACACGTCCGTCTTGATTCGAAAATCATGCCGATAAGTACCCATTGGGTCAGTAATACCAATACAACGCATAACAAATAGTACGTAATACAATCTACATGTATATTGTAAACTTTACAAGGCCAGCGTCACCTTTTTGACCATTGTTACAACTCGTGTAAAAATACATTACATTTAAAACATGTCAGTCTAAAATTACAGAATATTTGTGTATTTCATTTTGTCCACATTTTACTAAACTTTTGTAGTATTTTACCAATTTCTTTTTACCAATTATATGTTCATTGTTTACAATTCATTTTGTCAGTGTTCAAATCTTTCTCTGCTCACTGAGGTCTTTCTGTCCTGTCACCAGTGTTATCGAATTGGCATACCGGTACTATTTCTGCGAAATGTCAATTATTTTCTAAGGCAGGTAGACAGAAACGAACTTTTCAAATGGTGTACTTAAGTATACATGACCATATCATAACTCGCCGGATTGAAATGGAACATCACAAACGTACAAAAAAGTATCCAAGTATGTGGTTACGTTATTGTACTGACGAAGCACCTAAGAATGTGCCTACGAGCATTAAACTCCGCCTCCAATATCTTTATTGTTTTACATAACTCTTCAACGCACTTGAAACAATTCTAGGTTTACTTCTTGGGAGCTATTACGTGTATTTCAATGGATTAATTACCCGCTCGCCATCAAATTCTGACTGCTCTGCAAGAAACGTGCTAGATAAACCCTACATCGCACCAGGACAATCCCTGTGAATTCCTAAACCCTACAACGCACCAGGACAATCCCTGTGAATTCCTAAACCCTGCACCGCTCCAGGATAATCCCTGTGAATTCCTAAACCCTACATCGCACCAGGACAATCCCTGTGAATTCCTAAACCCTACATCGCACCAGGACAATCCCTGTGAATTCCTAAACCCTGCACCACTCCAGGACAATCCCTGTGAATTCCTAAACCCTACATCGCACCAGGACAATCCCTGTGAATTCCTAAACCCTGCATCGCACCAGGACAATCCCTGTGAATTCCTAAACCCTGCACCACTCCAGGACAATCCCTGTGAATTCCTGTAAATGTTAAACACTGCACGTGCTTTCGTATAACAGAAAACAATGCAAATCAACAGTCAATTTCCATTCAAATACGAAATCTTGTACACTGTTAAAACAGAATATTCTTATTCCTGCCTACATTCGAAGTTGAAAAGACAAATGCAGGGAACAATTCCAGTGCACATACTGAAAAAAAAATTGTACGTCCAGTGGGTGGGAGGTGGGTTCACAAGCATCGACTTCAGTTCTTTCATCGAAACCGCATATACGCCTAAGCCTGTAATTTTCGAGCTAAATGAAAATACTCGGTTTGACATAAAGTAGATTTCCAAGAGACGGTAAGGGGGAGGAGTAGATGACGCTGAACTCGGAGGGAACAAGACCTCATAAACTGCTACTGATAATTTTAAATCCTTAGAGGGGGACGGAGAAATTGTATTGCAAAATTATATATGAACATTGGCTCCAATATATTACTTAAGGTCTTTGACCAAAAAAAAACTTGAAAATACTGTCCAAAAACTGCTACAGAGCGGCTTCAAAAACTTCACATAATCATGGTTTCTGGGAAGTTATTGCTTTGTCCCAAAATGTTTATTTACTTAAATGGCAAAGTCTGAAATATCTACATTGACAGACAAGAGGGAAGATAACTGCCTTGGATTTAAGTCCAAAACTGAAGCAAACGAAGAAAAAAGAAACAATTAAAAAACGGCAGTCTCTTCTCTCCCACAATACCAACTTTGACACTCCATAAGTCATAATTGTAGTTCCTGTTATGATACATGGGATCTTTCACACCAAAAACACGATTTAGTACTTTCCAAAGTGCAGCTCATTAACATAATTCTAAAGAATAGATTAGTCACTGTAAGAATGCATTTTAAAAAACGAGGTTTATGACTTTGCCTCACATAGTTTAAAAAAATCAACCAATCAATGAATATACGTATTGCTGTCATTTGCAAAAGCTCAAGACCACCTGGAACTGCCACTGGTCCTGCATAACATTTTCTCACAACTAAATGACTTTTCTTGTTCTCTTTCTTTTTACAGTAGCTCGTACCATCAGAGAAGTGTTATGAATCCATTTGAATGGTTTTGTTTGCAGAAGACTGGATGAGAGTTTAATTTTCAGATAAGGTGCAACAATCTTTATGACACAAAGAGCATGTCTAAAGACGAGGCAGAATAAGATTGATGTATGATACAGTAGTTGTGACCATGAAACGCCTCCCAAACTCAGATGATATGGGGGTGCCATGTCTCTGCCTGGAACGTCTGTTTCTCAAACCACCCAATAAATTATAAATAGTGCTAAGTACAATGTACGTCATACGGCTGAGACTTGTATGGATGCACACTAATCATGAAATATTCATTTCTTGACAAAGGGCGACGTCAAAGTTCTTGACTGGCCTGGGAACAGTCCTGATCTCAATCTCATCGAAAATTTGTGGGAGGTACTGAAAGATTAAGACAAACAGCTAACCAATAAATGCCAAGGCACACACACATTTGAGAAAAGGAAATTTTCGTAGACTACTGCCAGTCTCTCACCTCCAGTATGCCACGTTGCATTCAAGAAGTCAACAGAAATGGAAGAGGGCACACTAAATATTAGACTGTTAACAATTCAAATTATGGAAATGTAGTCAAATAGCTGTTCAACCACGATACTAAGATTACACTTTAAAAATATATTTAAGTTGCTGTGAATAATTGGTTTAAGTTTTTTTTTCCTTCAGGTTAATGCATTTTGTATGGATGGTCCTAAACTTTTGCAAATGGCTGGAGCGTGTCAGAAGCCTACTCGATTTGCAATTTCCAGTTAAATGTACATGTATTTTAAATTTACTATTCCTTATCTCTACTTCCATAAAGGGAGTTTTATGATTCCTTGTTACAACAATATCCTCATACACACATCCTTCCTGACTGATAGAGCCAGTAACTGCTCCTTTAAGCCACACTATGGGAGGATGTATGTAGAGGTGATAACCTGGCCTTCAACCCACATCAATCTGCATTTCAAACCAGATGTTAAAGGGTCATGCTGACATTTTTTCCACAATCCTTTAAAATGCACCGTTGTGATTCAATTATCCTTTCTTTTCAACTTTTGCTGCGTTTTAAAAGATATTGGCACCTTTTCAGTTTTTGTGCTCTTTCAAGTTTCCATATTCATGAAAAAAATGTGAGCCATCCGATGGAATGAAACTCAATGATTCATTAATTCGTACACGAAACTCTGATAGAATTTTTATAGTTTCCCATTTCAAGGTTTCTTTGCTTTGTTGAGTCACTGATTAAGAACATGGCAACAAGCCAATGAGCAACTTTTCTAAAAATGTTTTCAATGAACAAATTTTGGGTTCAAACAATCTAAACAGAAAAACCTAGAACCCTAGGGTGTCTTCCTGATTGACATCATGGCAACAGCACTCTCTGCTGTCTGATAAAGCACGGACAACTTGAAATTTCTACACGCCCCCTGAAGAAATCATTTGTTTTCACGCAGTGAAAAAACAAAGTAACATTGCACAAAAGGGGAGGAGGAGTAAATAAGGCTGAGTAAATGGGATGATTATAAATAAGGCTGAGTAAATGGGATGATTATAAATAAGGCTGAGTAAATGGGATGATTATAAATAAGGCTGAGTAAATGGGATGATTATACAGTCTCTCCGCTGGTATCGGCATACACTCTCATTATTCTCTCTCTTTTTTTCAACTTGTGGTGTATCTCCAGTGAAGTGCATGTAGATGACAACACGACGTCACAAGATTACATCTCTTCATTGTAAAAGATAACACCTTGACCAGGCCCCTTTTAAGCATCCCCAGTAGTCCATAGACTGACAACTAGACTGACTAAATTGACCCTGGGCACTGCTAAGGTTAATAGGGAAATCTCAGACTCAAATCATTATTGCAAGTGCCACAATGCTTCACAGTATGCTCACAGTGCCTTTCATATGGACCCTAGTACATGCTTCATTGTACATGTAGAATGTTTCATTACTCTACTTGGTTGACACCAATGACAAACATGGTAGTTTAGTTACTTTAAAATCTAAGTAGATGATTGACGACTGAAAACAAGTCTTAAAGATGGCATACAAGTAAATTGTACCCTTAACTTTTCCTGTTTAAAGCTGCCTCACTGACACCAGTAGAGGGTGCTGTTTCTGTCACATGCCCTTAAGTAACACAACTGCACAAGGGCTTTCTCGATGCTCAAACATAAGTGGTTGATGAGATGAGAGTCAGCCAGAGCCGGAATGATTGAAGTGGTTGATTGTTAGGTTATGGCCACCAAACACAGCAAAATTGTTATTTCCAATGACATTATTAGTCACATGCTGTGCATTCTGTCTGCCCTGATTATTGCGAATTTGAAGAGTAGAACTAATGCCTTGTTGTGCTGGTCTTATAGCCCTACCATCAATTTCATCAGCTGCAGTAAAGAAAAGGTACAACATTTTTATTAGATACTTCACAACACCATAATAAATGTTCTCTTGTTATAAGTGCAGAAATTTACACAGCAAAATGGTATGACAGTGTGAAAAGGCCTCCACACTGTTTAAGACATACATGTACATGTACTTCTAAGCCATGTTCCCAGTGGACTTTTCATTCTGCAGCCACATGGACACCTACTTCTGCATTCTTTTATGTCAGTCTACCACACATTCCTACTTGAATTTGTTTAACTACAACAGAACATTTATTCACTTTGCGAGACAAGCTGAATGCCAGTCAGCAGTATGACAAAATGAAACATGGTTCATGTTGTATTTTGATTCTCCACCAGTGTTCAGAGACAGTGCAGAGATGACAGAATTTCCTCCGTGTCTCCCCTATTCTTAAGCATTTTCACTGGAAATCTGACAAAATCTGCTGAATCTGCCATATGTTTCATGTGGCGATGTGTATTCGTGTACATGCTGGGTGCAGTGCACTAATTCAAGTGATAATTTCTGCTGAGCACATTAGCATGAAAACTGCCCCCTAGATTTCTTTTGAAAAAGGAGATTGTTTGGTCAAATCAATGGAGGGACTGTGGAAATTTAGGCCAGGATCAAGTCCCTAGGTTTGGGTGATTCCATCCAAGAGTAGAGTTGATAAGAATCGGTCCTTAATGCCAAGAAAGTAGATCAAACCCACCAAAAATTAAAAAGAAATGGAAAGACTAGGGATAGTAGAAAACAATGTTATATTTAAGAAACTCCAGTAATGTCAACTTGCATTTCACATGCCAGGCCAGCTGTCAATCTTTGTGTAGCGGTGACCTCATACAGGAAGTGGTCCTATGTTCTATGGCACTGTTCCCACTGGACTTTTTAGTGTCCCTGCTTACTTCGGCAGCCCGGAAATCTTCCATGGCCACTTTTGACCTGGTAGTTTTACATCAAGGTTGTGGTAAGTAGACAGGGACATCACATTTCCGCATGTCCCTACTGGATTTGATTTTGTCATTCTACAGGAAAGTCAAGGTAGTTAATCTCAAAAAGTCCAATGGGAACACTGCTTAATGTTTAAAGTGGGCTTAAGAACCATCTTTAATAAAAACCGTAACCTCCTTTGAATGCAGGGGGGGTAGACAACAAAGATTTACCTGTGTTATTTGCGGTATTGTCCAATTTTTCCACAAGATGTTCATAGCCTGTTTCCAGGAGAACACTGCGGAAATGACGGTATGCATCCTGCCCTCGCTTTTCTAGCATATTCAATAGTTTGCCAGTCTGGTCCTACAAACAATTCACGCAGAGTTTGAAAAACAGTTGACATATTTGGTCTTCCTTGAAATGTATCAATATCAGACTTTCATGTTTAAGCTAATCCCAACAAATTTTGGTTTGGGCTGAAACAAACATAAGTGAGTACTCATGGTAAATATGCGTAATTGAAATAAGCAGCAAAGACCTGAAAAGAATTAAGCCACACAGAGCTACAAAGTTTCAGTTCAACCCTGTTGAATATTTAATCTATTCATTAAAAGATACTCACTTTGGACCTATTGCATACAGGGCTTGTCCTGAGTTATAGGGTCCGTGCAATAATATTTTTTTGAGAAAAACCTTTTTTTGCAGCTTTATACCCCTCTTCAACTTGCAAAAATTATTATCAACAAAATTATCTCCCTTCCAAAAGTGTGCAAAAAACCCTAAATTTATCCTCACTTGTCAAAAAGGCCACAAAATGCTACCTAAAGAAATTTTTAACATTTTTGGCCCTTATAAACATTTTTGGCCCCCCCTTCAAACTTTCATACTGGATCTGCCCTAGGAAAAAACATGATCTGGAAATCTAAATTTGCCACACAAAATGATAACGATTCCTATTAAATAAAATTACAATAAAAAACCCTAAACTCCAGAAAAATCAATAAACTACCGACTTACTTTTATTGTTTCCTTGGATGTTATTTCTTGAATCATGTCTGGTGTGAAGACACCATGCTGTATAAGATGGTCCAGAATTCGGTGAGGTTCTACATTTTCTACCAAGGCACAACGGTTTCGTCTCAGTTTTTTCCTGTCTATATCTTCCATGCTGAGAGCTTTTAATCAGTTTGTGTTGCACTACATACTAATTTCTGTGAAAATAAGTAGTTTATATTGAATAGTTTTTACTGCTTTGGTGTATTTTTTTCCAGGTGGGGGAAACAGGGTGCATGTTGCAAATACTAGCTTACATAGTGCACACTAAAAATCAGAATTCCATTGAATTTCTCTAAAAATGGATTAAGACAGGTGAGATATGATAGTCCATGTAATGGTCCTTCTATATACCCCACATCTCCAGATACATGTAGCACCCCCCCTCCTTTCTCCTACTTGCCCTTTCCCCTTTGTTCTAGGAATCATGTCGTCTCTCTTTTTGATTCTTCTGAAGTCAGCTGGTTATTTCAAGGACAAGTTTTCATCCAGATGAGCAAAAACATGCCCTGTTTTCTGAATCCTCAATTGACATGAGCCCTGTAAGACATATCGTGAAAATCAATTCACAAGACTGACTTTCAGAGGAAAATGTTCACAAAATAGTGCCACTTTTGCATGCTACCGGGTAGCACGATCTGAAGGAGGCCCTCTAGAGTCTGACACATACATGTACCGTATATCAAACTGTTCCATAATTTGCAACAGTGGTGATATTAAGATACTGACTTGTCAGTATCAAATACTACACATAGTTGCACAAACTTCCGTAACCCACAAGTCATTCGTTAAATTGTTAAATCGAGATGACCTTTCTATGACCTCAACCAAATCATGAACCTTGAATAAAACCAACTATTACCAACAAGATGTGCTCAAGGTTGAGCATACCACAGCAGGTTTTCATACTCTCTATTATTTCCTGAATTTGTAAGTTTGATTTTGTTTCTTATGTAAAAAACTTCCAGCATAATCAATTTATATACACAAAGAGGAAGAACATTAGGTACATGTACAGTAATGCTCAGCCTCCCCTTTTCCCAAAAGCAATTATGGAGAATATGAGTTGATGTGATTCAATTCGTTTCGACAGGTTACTTTTCTGTCAGAAAATGAAGGTACCATGCACACTAATAGGTTTAATGCGAGGAAGACATTTCACAGTAAACAACGTGGCATCTTGAGATCAGGGATGCATTTCTCACTGCGCATGCATTTTGTCGTCGAATATCAATTGATTCCAAAGTGCCAAGTTGTCGATCAGGTACGTGTACAGTACATGTATCTCTCAGTACAACTGCACTTAGTCTGGTTTCGTGTATCTTTATAAGCATTCTAATTACAGAGGTAGAGGTAATATAATGGAATGGTAAATAATCTACCTTGTAAATGACTTATGACATAAATAGTACTAACATAATGAAAGCGAACTAATTCTCTCACTTTGTGCCCAATTTCTGGAAAAGACTTCTGGACTCAATTAATTCTAAGACACTTGAATTATTCGAAGAGAATGTTCCATAATGGTCTCTGCCCTCACTTCAAGTTTGGATGGCAATGTAGGAAATTAGAGACATCAGTAGAGAGTCATTACATGCAATAAACAATTATCATATTTTATCATAGTCACTAACTCAAAGGAGCCATCTTGACAAGCACATGTTCTTGTCTTCCCGCAATCTTGCACATAGACTGGTCAAGAGCCAGTTCAGAATTTCACAAAGCCAATGTCTTTCGGGAGCAAAGTGTGTGAGTCAGCATTTGGCTGCATTGATTGGAGAGCCTATTGCACTCACACAAAGCTGTTCCCAGGTAGCCTCATAAATGGGCACATGCTGTTGGAATAAGAAGCTGGCTCGCTGTCTTGTTACACTGCCTCCACTGTTTTATAGATCAGTCATTCCAGAATGTTTAAAAGAAATGAATCTGGGACTGAGAAAAATTACCGATTTTTAAAGGAAATACTTTAAAAAGATTTTCTTCACTCCCTATAGACAATGTACAAAACCGTTGAAGTGGAATCAGGGTGCAACATTCTTTCCAATTATTCACATGATTATCACTATGATTTAACTTTACCGATCAAAACTCATTTTAGTCTTAACTCCTGTTTTTAAGTCCTTTTTGATGTTGTATTGTATGGATTACTTTGTCTTTTTATTCCTGCCAAAATAATAAATGAAATGAAAAAATTCACCAGTGTGAAGTTAGTTACTTCCTTATTCCTCATTCGACATTCAATGTTGTACAAGTAGCCTGTTTGATATTCACACCAGACTTTTCTAAAATTAGAATAAAATACCCAAACCCCATGCCCCACCCCAATATTACATTAAAGCTGATCTCATTGTTCTCCTCAATCATCGAGGACTGCCTGCAACCCAGGTAATGTTTTTTTTTTCTGGGTTAAACAAGCCCTCCAATAACAAAGTTATTGAGGGCGAAACAGTCAGGTACACTGGTATTGCCACTTTTATCAAAACTTAAACAAAAAGTTTTCATCTCCAAAAAAATCCTCCCAGTATCCCTGCAATTAACAGCCTTAACCCTAATCATGGAGGAATGCCCTTATCAACCCTCGTCCTATTACTATTAGCTGTCCCAACCCCAGCAGCCCTAAGCATGAAGTTTTACGGGGCACTTTTCAAAACGGCACAGCGTATGGAACCATAAAAAAATGGCCCCAGTATAGTAAGGTCTACGCAGTAGTACCTTACTGTTCAGGAAGGTACGATGTCCATATGTTTACAAGGCGATTTGTAGGATCCAACGCCACTGAAATCCAAGTTACTCGGCCTAATGTCGCGGAGCGTGCGCTGGCATATGACCGATTCAGTCCAACATTCGAAAAAGACGAATACTAACGCTCCAATCAGTAAAGCTAGGTAAAAGTAAAACTTAAATAGAACAAACAAACCTTCTTTTTCAAGGAATGGAAGAGGGTCTGAGGAGGATACTTCCTTGTTACAAAAATACACGTCATTGACAGACCCGTCCCAATCCCACACGCTGGCATACATTTCCGGGAATCCCCAGACATTTCAAAGTAGAGTGTGGTTACCAGCCTTTAAAGGTTGTCTGGCTACGAGTTATGATACTTTGTGCAGGGAACTAGACTATTTCATGGAAAAATAGAGGGCGCTATATACATGAAAATAAACTGGCAAGAATCAGCATAGACATAAATATTTATGTCTGTAAATAAATATTTACGATTTATGTCTGTGAGAATCAGTGATGAAATCTATGGTGTACTGTTTACAACACACATTTTTAACTCTCTCTAAGCGACGCAACTACAGGGCGCGATGGCACAATGGCTCCCTTGCGTCGTCCCGTCGCGTCGATTGGAAGAGACTAGAAAGAAGCAGAAATGTGTGTAAATAGCTCACGATAAAAATCACTCACAAAACTCGAAAACATACTTGAAATCGAGACACAAATCAAACAAAGGATATTTCACCATCTGTTGAAGTTTAGTGGACAGTCCGATCAATGACCAAAGATATTAATCCTTTAAAGTCCATCTAATATCTAGCGTGAGAAATTATTCGGACAGAAAGTTTTTGTAAGATGTACAAATTGGTCACAATTAGATAAATACGGTAGCACAAAAGAATGATACATGTACAGAGTTAACAGAACATTACATGGGAGAAAAAAATTTAAACGATTCATTATACCAATACATTTGGATACTTTACTCGAGACTACACTTATATGACTCTTCCAAGATAAGTGCTTATTTATATTTATACCCGAAAATGTTGTACTTGTTACTTTATTCAACGTTTTGCCATTTAATACCAAAGGGAAAGTTTGAATGTCTTTTTGTTGTTTAGTACAAAATATCATATAATTAGATTTGGCTAGATTGATACACAGTTTGTTTGCTAATAGCCAAACGTTTATTTTTGTGAGTTCAGTATTTAAAATCAGAATAGCTGTATTAACATTATCATGACTATAAATAAGGCTTGTCTCATTTGCAAATAGACAAAATGAGAGGTATTACATATATCATTAATATGTGTAATGAACAGTAGAGGGCCTAGCACGTACACCACGCCTAGTGCTCCAATTATAAATAAATCAAGATGTTGTGATTAACTGTATCAAACGCCTTGGAAAGGTCCAAAAAACACCCCAATAGAAAATTTCTTTTTTTCTATTGCAGTTACTAATTCGTTAACAACAACTCTGAATCCAAACTGTGAATCAGAGAGAATATCATATTTATTGACAAAAGATATTAGTCGTTTATAAACTAACTTCTCAAATACTTTGAAAAATGTAAATAGAACTGTTATTGGTCTAAAATTGCCAGCATCTTGCTTACAGCCACTTTTATGAATAGGTGTGACCTTACCTATTTTTAATCCTTCTAGAAATGTTCCTGTAATAAAAGATTTGTTAAAAATAATAGTCAGTGGTTTGGCTAAAGAGAACTTCGCCTGTTTTATCACATATATGTTTAGACCATCACAACCAGGGGCCTTATTTGCAGAAATTTAAAAAAGGATTTCCACTGTCTCTTCGTACATAACATGTTAACATCGAATTCAAGAATTTAACCTGTTTTTATAGACAGAGTAAGTTTGTTTATTTTGATCCGAACGGATTTTTCAGGAACTTTTTGTAAAGATGACTTTTCTTTCTGATAGGGGTGTGAATACCCTCAGATAACCAGGGAGATTTAATTTTGTCATAGCGGCATCGGATTTGTCGTAAGGGAAAATTCTTCTCATAAAGCTGAAGAACATGGTCCAGAAAAACCTCGTAGATGTCACTGAAATTGCCCAGTGAAGTTAAGTTATCCCAATCAATATCAGTTAGATCTTGAATAACTTTGTCAATGTTATCAGCATTAAAATCACGCTTAGATGTATATGTCCGATTATTTTGACTTTGTTCTTTGAAATTATTAATTACTAGAAATACAGGTAGATGATCGCTTATGTCCGTTACAAAGACACCGGCTGTAAGATTACGACAATCATTTGTAATTATACTATCAATTAAAGTCGAACTAGTAAATGTGACTCTGGTGGGTTTATCCATTGTAGGATAAAACGATTGTGAAGTAATAGTATCGATTAAGTTATGCACAGCATTGTCAAGGTCGCACTGAGACAGATCAATGTTGAAATCACCCATAATGTTACGGTGGTTCTCATCATTCACTTATCCCAGAATTGCATTAATGTAGTCAGTGAGCTTATTACATGAGACGCAAGGTGGCTTATATACAACACCAACGATTATATTCGTTGTGTAACTATTAATTATCTCAATGAAAAAGGATTCAAGTTCAGAATTATTAACAGACAAATCATCGCAGAGTTGATACACGAGATTTCGTTTTATATAAAGTGCAACTCCACCACCATTTTTGTCCTCTCTACAAAAAGCTTCTATTGAGTAGTTTGCTATTTGAGTTACAGGACTGTGGATATCCTTTAACCATGTTTCAGAGATTATTCCAATAACTGAGAAGTAGGTTTTGCGGAGACTAATAGAGTTCGTAATGTGTAAGATATTTTGTTGTAAACAGCAGGCATTTAGGTGGAATAGTTTCTATCATTATTTGAATGAAATTTAGCCACATACTCATCCTGATCATGTCTCGTCCCCTGTAGAGGCAAACTTGAGCTATATGAGTGGAGGCGATCTGTATTTTGATTTCTGATCCATGTTCCTGGAAATAAAAATGTGAAGCTGATATTTGAGACCTACAAGCCAATGGCCCACGATTTTCTAAGACAATGAAAATTTATGACCGGTTTTCATTACTTTTCCCTCTAAGAAATCCATTGGGCGATATCCTACCGGGATCGCTGCACATACACGTGTAGGATGGAGCGCTGGTAGGGCACAAGTATGTAAAAAATATCACAGACAAACAAACTTACAATCCTTGCCACAGCTGCTTTCCTTTAAACAGTACCTTGAGCTCACTGGCAACAAACTCTTTATTATTCACGTATAGAAAAACCTTACCGCACATAACTCTAATAAAATAACGATGGTCAAAGGGAAGCATGGATAGAAATTCGTCCTTCCTGGTGGAGTATAATATTCTGATGGAGGCATTGACGTTGATCATCGTACTAGGAAGTACAACAGCCCAAACTGATCAAGGACGAGACGACAACACAAAATTATTTCCAAAAATCATCACCAGCCCAGAACAGATGTATACCCAAACTATTTTTTTTTAAATTTTTTTAAGAAAAACTCATTTTGTTACCATCTATCGCTTCACATCTATCACGACTCTATATTTTCTCCTGGGCTACATATACGGGTTTATAATTCCTCTGTGGTTTATGGCTTCGGACTGGAGCTCTTCAAAATGACGCTGAAAAGCATGTGGATCAACCAACACTGGGCAAGAGCTCACTGGCATAGCGCCTGCATGGCATTCTGTATATACACGTAGACCACAGGTTAAATCCCGCTCCGGTCAAGTTTGTTAATTAATCGTTATCCTTCTGGCTGAATACATTTCTTTATTTCTAAATTCAAATGCATTATTCAATGCACAGGTTGATCAAAGATTATTACAGTAATGGCCAAGCACTGTAGTCCAAAATTTGTACAAAATTGTTAAGTCCATCAAAGTATTAATATCAAAGTAAACACTGATATGAAATGAGCAGTGTCCATTAAACTACATCGAAAAAGTGGACCGATATATGCAAAGATAAAAGATGGTGTAATTAGTTTCAAGTTTTAAAGACTGTCACGGAATGTATTACAGACTCTCTATAGGCACATGATGATCAATGGCATCAGTGACATACATGTACCAGCAATATCAGTGGTGTAACTATGAAAGGGAAGGGGCAATTGATAGTTAATTGATAGTTAAAACAAGGCATAAGTTGGGCTACAATTATTTCTTCCAGTACTGGTTTCTAAGATGCCTTCAGGGGTTTTCATTTCCTTTAGAATCAAACATTAAAATTGGAACAGGTGGAAACTTAGGTCTCCCACCCTCTCAAATAGACCTCAAATCTGTCATGGTTATAAAAACCTTTTTGCAGAAATCAGCATATTTTATTGTTGTAATTATGGGTTCCTTTCTTAATAGTGCTTACTATGGCTTGCCCGGGACAACACTGTGATGGATTTGGGACTTCATCAAGTTGTCCCTACTTTGTTTATACCATTATAACTACATCTTTTGATTAATTTTCAGGTTTTTGGTTATGCACGGTCACGTTGCTTCCGATCATTGTCAGATTTTTATCCCCTATTATATTGTATTCCATTCTTTGTATGGTCGGAGTAGTATGGGTCTTTGAAGTGCCATCACCTTCTCCCGAAGCACTGTTCTCCTCATGTTTTGGTGGCGCCATATCAGGTTCATCTACACACAGGAGAAAAAAATGACTGATGCGTTTTGAAACCCTTCAAATAAAGGCACATCAATGTAGTACGCCTCCCAAAGCATTGGGAGTTTGCCAAATTGCTAACTCCAATCACACTGGCCTGTCTTTATGTCCAATTAACTAATTAAAACAGGTGCAACTGGGGTAAAATTTCCGGATGGCATTTGGGCATGCACATATTTTTCAACGGGGCACTGAAAAAAGCAAATGAACTGCAGCTTGTCAAGAGATTGTGTTCATTGTATGATTTCAATGGAGTGGGGTAAAAGGGAGGGGGGGCACAGACACCCATTGGGTGTACATGCCCCCCTGTGATCCCCTACCCTCATAGTTATGTCACTGCTGATTATTGTACCTTGACTACTGATTGAATTTTTGCCTTTTTACATCATGCATTTTTTTCGAGGGGCTTCCTCTGCCCACTTGTGTGTTGTGGTGTACAGCTTGAAATCCTCAGTATACTGAAAAATGTGTACGTAATTTTGTTTTAAATGTAACATTATAAAATGCACATGGCGACTGGCATATAGGGGACCTGTAAGAGGGAGTAGCTTCCTTCCTGCTGGTAATATATTAACTCTTTGTTGTTTTCTTGTTTTGTTTGATTTTTTTTTATTTCTGGGATCCATATATGAAAGTACTCTCTGCACTGCCAGTGACCTCTACCTTTGAGAAGCTTGTTGACATTTTTTGTGAATAGAATGTGTTGAAATTGGCCTCCTTTGAACCCAAACCTAGGTACACTGCTGCACATTACTGTATTCCATGACTAACTACCTCACTGCAACTTTAACTCTGACGTAAAACTGTGCATTTGTCAGATGAACGAGAAACAGCTTCCCTAAAAATGAAACTGGATGTAGTTGAACTAGCTCATAAATATTGCAGCATACCTATATTTGTATTCTCCAGAGCGTCCACCAGATAACCATAGTGCCTTGTTTCCCGAAGGCTATCGCAGAATGCCCCAAAAGCATTAGATCCCTTCTTCTCCAGCTCATTTAAGATTTTGCGCACTTGGTCCTATGAAAAAAAATGTGGGTAGGTTAACTTTTAAATCAATCAGCAAATGAAAGCCTGTTTTGCACAATGTGCAAATTAAAATTAGACACACCTAGGCTATAGCTAGTGAATTGGGGCTCAGTGCTGAGGATTTGTTTCAGTGTAATATGTTTGCTTTGACATGTAAATATAAGTATGTCGGTGTTAAATAGATAAAATGGTCCTTGTTTTTGCCAGAAATTTGTTATCAGAAATTTTAATAATTAGATGGACATTATGCCGAGAGAATCTCACCTTGTTTTGGATTATCATTGTTTTTGATCAAAAACGATTTATAAAAAATCTCAAATATCCCACCATACAAAAAGTAAATGGTAAAAGTTTCAATTCATTATCACTAATATAGGACAGTCTCAAACTGAATACATAGTTCTAGGATTGAACACTGTAAAGGGCATAAAAAAACAGTGTTTGAATTTGGTATGATTTGACAGAAAAATGTTGAAAACAAAAGGCACAAAATGATCTACTCCAGGGACCTTTTGGTGACTGTGGAAATTGAAGGGACAAAGGCCCATGAACTTCTCTTAGTGTTTAACAAATTAAGGATGTGCATGTATCAATCCAGACAAACACTCAACCGGGTGAGAAGTTCAATGTTACCACCTTGTTAAGCTGTAATATTAACATTCTATATCATCAGCATGATAATATTTCAGAATAAAAAGTGTGGTAATGACATTTACAAAGAGAAAAATAACAGAAAAGTAAAAAACACAAAAGATTACTTGGCGGGTATCTCTGGAAATTTCATCACATATTTCAGGTGTAAAGATGCCCTCCTGTATAAGGTGATCAAGTATCTCTTTGGGTGTGATGTTTTCCACCAAAACTTTTCGATTTTTTCGTAATCGCATTTTGTCTGTCTCATCCATGGTGAAGTAATGGCCTAATGCAATGAAGTGAAACAAAAACAACAAAATAAAAAGACTGGTACTATAAAACAATATTCCAACTGATTATCTGGTCAACCAACCAATGAAGAAATGATTGAACCAACTATATAACTACCCCCCACTAATGGAGAGATAAGATGAAAATAATTACGAGGATGACAACCAGTGAAAATCAACAACATTATCTAGACAACCATCAATACATTTAGGTGAAGAAAATCAACCTTTTCCTCTATCACCTTCTTCACAGGATCTACTTGCCCTGTCTGATTACTGGGAAAAGTATATTGATAAGAGTAGTCACTCTTATCCAAAGGATTAGGAGAGTTTAGAGAGATGCAATGATGGGGGATTGGGAAATGCCACAAATTGGAAAAAAGACTGTAATAAAGATTGATTGGACAGTCATCCAATTATTTTTGGAGAGATTCTAAACAGCAAAAAATGTGTCAGGATGCTCCACTGGTCATGTAACTAATAAACTATATGTATTTACCAAAACAAAAATATCCAACCCATCCTGGAAAATGACACAGAATCTACATTTTTACTTGAAAATCAACCAAAAAATCGCATTTTGAGGCTGGGTATTAACGGACGCCTTTGAAAAAGGTGGCTTGCTCTTGTGTGTCATCATCTACAAGACCATACTCATTTGCTTTCTACAAAGTGCACCAAGTATGACTTTGTCGTACTCAAGTATAAATGAGTGTAAAAAGGAACATACAAACAAACAAACAAACACCCCAACAAACAAACAAACACCCCAACAAACATGCCAACAACCCAACAAACAAACAAACAAACGAACGAACGAACGAACAAACGAACGAACCAACACACCAACAAACAAACAAACAGAATGACCTCACCTTAATACTTCGTGCCCAAATAAATGACAAAAACCCTGATAGCTACCACACTCAATTTTCCCAATATTTGTCCTGACAAAAATTTCCATGAACAAAGTTTATTTAACTGCAACCTAGTCCCTTTAGTTTGAGCAAAAACAGCACAGTGGTATCACTTGACACTGCTCCATCGCCAGTGAGCATTCTTTTAGAAAGATGGAGTCGAATTTCAAATTGGCTCAAACAAACTGTAACCGACGAGTTGGGTGGGTGCAATCAGTCGATTAGCAGGATAGCGGATTCCATTGAACAATCTTCCATGATCACATATTTTATTTATTAGATGTACTTACAAGGCGGAGCCGTCAGCATACAATGTCAATGTAATGATACATGTTTTCATAATCAAGACGTAAAATATTTGATGATCATGGTGAACACGTGTCTTACCAGCGATCACTTGATGATAACTGGAATGTTAGAATTGTTGTCTCCTTCGAGACGTCACCTAGTACAAGTCTGCAAAAGATGAATGGACCATGGACGTACGTGAACTTGGCGGAAGACGGAAGACCGTTTCAGTGGGAACTTCCCCAACAGCACGTAATTGTTTGCAGAGGGCGCTAATTTAGCGAACAGCAGAATATAGCGTGCATGGCACACGCACACTGCGCGAAACGCTCGTTTTTAACCATTTTTTTAATCAATCACTACAAATTAAAATAAAGTAGAAAGACTTAAAGTGTCATCACGTTTACATTTTCGAAAAGTTAGTGTTTGTTAAGTTAATTTCCATGAAAACTACTTTTTCCAACTTAGTTAGTACGAGATGAATTTTTTCCAAACTTAATAGTTATATTATGGAGGACGAAAAGTGGCCATCTGCTTTTTACCTGTCAAACAAGCAGGAAAGTGGATTGAACGTTTTGACGACAACCGTGAAATCAACTTTTCTGCTTTTGTGATACCAGAAAAGCAAATTTTACATAGGTGGCCGAAAAGTGGCCATCTGCTTTTCTGTCCTTAAGGGTGCAGACCACTAATTCAAGTGAGAATTAATTTTTGGCTAGCTCTTTAGCATTAAAAGTGTTCCCACAGTATCTTTTGAAAAAGAAGATTGTTTGGCCCCCAAAATGGTGAGATTGTGTAAATTGCTGCCAGGATGAACTCCCTGGGTCTTTGAGCTTTCATATGAGAGCAGAATGGCTAAAAAACTACGGTTGAAAAATAGTCCGAAGTGCCCGAAAAAATTGAGGGTTGCCACTCGAAAAATGGCTGCAATCGGACTTCAGAAAATTCCGGGGGTGGTTTTGTTTTGCGGGAATAATTAATGTAATTGGTTAACCCACAAAAAATTGAAAAGAAAATGAAAGATTAGGGACTAGACAATAATTTCATTTCATAAAATCTCAGGGATGTTGGTATGCACGTTATTGGGCCCTGGACAGTGCTGAATTTACACTGCATTCAATGGGGCTTGAATTAGTGGACTGTACCCTCGATGGGCAGTGAATGGGGTTATGAATATGGAGGTTCAAAAGTGGACATTTGCTTTTCTGCTGTTCAAAAAGCAAAAAAGCAGATCGGAGGTTTTTACACAGCGATTTTTTTCACTTTTCTGCTTTCTCATAACCAGAAAAGGAGATTGAACAGTTTGTCAAGATGTAATTTTCTTTTCTTTTCCACCAGAATGGAATTTACTTTCAAGTCTACAGTGGTGGTCCAAAAACGGACATCTACTTTTGTGCTTCGTACAAAAACTGACTGGTTATAATCGTATATAGTCCAAAAGTGGACAACTGCTTTTCTACCGACAGAATAGGACAAAATCGTACTGAACGTTTTTGTAAAAAGCTTTTTCCATTTTTTGCAACAAGAAAAGCAGACTGAATAATAAACTGATAAGCATTTCCTTGTATTCTAGGTTTGCTTCTAAAATAAGATTTTTAAAAACTTTATCCGACATTACCACTGGCGGTTCAAAAGTGGACATTGTGGTTTTACTTTGCTTCATGGAGAAAACTCAGTGAACAGATCACACAAAATATGTTTTTCCACTTTTCTGTTTTCTGAGAGCAGATTGAACATTTTAAATACAAAGTGGTCCAAAAGTGGTCATCTGCATTCTGTCCTTCTAGGCCTATTCGCCTTTACCCAACTGGTCCATCTATCGCGCTCATTATACGTCACGGTTGTCAACGGGGCGGAATTTGTCCAATCCGCGAAGCTTCCTGAATCATTGCGTGCCCAGGCAGGCAGTTCTTAGGCTCACGATAAGTGAGTACCAATAGCGCACCGGATGTGGGCCGGGCCACCCAGTCAGAATGATATTTACAATTTTCTTTCAGTGACACCGCGTGCGCCCAGTCTCTTGGAGCTGTCAGTGTTTAATTGGGCGGATTTGGAAGACTAGCTTTTGTATCACTGGGATGGGATAAGATGGGGTAAAAGCTTACCTTTTTCGATCAGATGTCGTCAATAATTGAAATAATAAAGAACAGTCGCTGCACAACCAGATCATCTATCGGTTTAATTACATGTACATGTATTTATAGAAGAATACCAGCTTTGGTCCATTATCGTGTATATGACTGAACCCAGGCCCTTCGATTTTGCACAAGTTGTGTCAGCCAGCCCACTACTGAATAATACAAGCCGGGTGGAATTTAGCTAGGTGTTGGATGTAAAATGAGATATTATTGACTGTACCGTTACATTATCAAGGGTTGCAGCATGGAACATGTAGATTTAGGCATTAATAATGTCTAAATGCTTTATAGATTTAAGGGAGAAAACTATCTATGTACTTTATATAAAAAAATTTAATGTTTAAATTACATTTTTTGAAACAAAATCCCCACAATCGGTAGAAGGATGTTTATCCCTGAAATTTAGTGTTGAAATTGCTTGACTTTGCTTTGACACACTGACCTTTGGGTGTGGCGGAGACCCAGGAAAACAGATGCCCAGTTTCAGACCACTACAAAAGAATTGTTCCGCCGTGTCGAAAAGTATTAAAAACAGACTCCTTAAAAATACTCAATTAAGCTTTCGGTATTGCAAGGCAGAAGGCACAATGTACATTTTTGAACCGCCATTGTATTTTTTTTTAATATAAATTGCTTGTAGCAGAAAAGCTGATAATTAGAATATGCGTTTCTGATGAGCTTATCGTTCAATCGGCTTTCCTGTGCAGCAGAATATTGTACACTATCAAAACAACTTTCAATGGGATTTTCTCCTAGTTTGACAGTGAAAAACCACATGTCCACCTTTGAACCGCCGTAATACTTGTGAATATGTCCAATCACTTTTTGTGGGAGGTAAACAAGTACACGTCCGTTTACTGCAACTGTAGACTTGAAAGTAAATTTGATTTCTCTGGTGGCAAGAACATGAAAAGGTAGAAAAATGCATCTTGGCGAACCGTTCAATCTCCTTTTCTGGTTGTGAGAAAGCAGACAAATTTCGTTGTGCAAAACGTCTGATCTACTTTTTGAACAGTAGAAAAGCAACATGTCCACTTTTGAACCTCCATACATGAACCTGTAGGTTACCACCATTTCCGTTCGTAGGGGGGATGAAGACGTATAGAAACCAATGCTTCACCATGTTTTCTGCGGACCAATCCCATGCAGCAGTATCAGTGTCCCTGTGAGGCAGAGAAAACAGCATCTCAAAGGAAATACAGTTTTACAGCTATAGATACACAAGTTTGCTTGGTACAAGGAAAACATGTGAAAAGATAGGGTCACATTAGGGTGGACTGCAATTATTGGTTTATACGTCTTCAATCCCCCAAAAGGATATGGTCATAACCTGAGGTTCACGACCCCGTTCACGACCCTTGGAAGGCAGAAAATCTGATGGCAACTTTTCAGCCGCCTACGTAAAATTGCTCCTCCGGTATCAAAAAAGCAAAAAAGTAAAATTCATGGTTGTTGTCAAACGTTCGACCCACATTTCTGCTTGTTCGAAGGAGAAAAGCAGATGGCCACTTTTCGCCCTCCGTAGTTATTCTCCAGTTCCTTCTTCTGGGGGTCATTTTCAGGAACATTGTTTCTACACGTAATTGGAAAGGCAAAGTTTTACGAGAAATGTCTTTGATCAATTTTTTTATGAAATACATTGTTTCCAAATTAATTTTCAAAAGGTATATTTCTAAGTTCGATTTTATATCTCATAAAATTGAACTTCAAAAATATTACTCATAAAAACGAACTTGGAATATCTTTATTTTGTCAATTTTGTTATAAAAACCCAATCAACAAAAAAACCCCAAAAACAAAAGAAGGATTCTAAATATTAATCTTATTGTCCTTTTCTGTATTTTGAGATTTTCTTTTAGCTTGAACGGACAGATCTAGCATCAAACGTACAAACAACTTCCTTTTCTTAAAACATAACTCAGCAGCTACCTTTGAAAGAATTTATCACTTCCAAAACAGTATGCCACACAATCAGTACTAACAGAATTGTTCTGTGTGTACTTTATTGTGCTTCCATAAATAGTACACATCAGCGATACTACAACCACACTGTTACTGCATAATGTTCTTTGGTGTGTAAGGTTCTAAACAGCAAGTACGTGTATTATGTACAGGCAAGTGGGAATATATATCAATTCAACATTACATTACCACTTTTTAAAAAACTTTTGCATGATTGATGGCCTTTACACACTCCCCCACACACCCAAATCTTTAAGTCAACTGCACTTCAAGCTACACACATACATGTAAATCTGTCTAGTTTAATATTAGTCATAAGATTACATCATAATACATAAAATCAGATACTCTGTAAAAGACAATGACCTATGTACCATGAATGTTTGACAATGTATTCAACCTAAAGATCTCAATGACAAGTACACTGAACTTTGGATCAGAATCTCCATATAACCCTAGGTAGTTCTCTGGATGATCTAACCCTTTCACTGATAAACATTCAAAATTTACACTGGACCAAAAAGGACTTGCAATGGTATATCTTAAGATGAGTTGACTTCAAAACTGTCCAGTGAATGTACTGATGACCGACATTCATCAATTAAGACTATTGGGGTTTATGAATTCCCTCACTAAGAACAAAAATTACCTGCACTTGTGCAAAGATTTAAAGAGTTTGAAACACCTTGGAACTGCATGTATATGTGAACAATTTTGATATGTTCAGTTAAAAGAGTGTGTCAAAAATGCAGCTGCAACATGAATGAATATGTGCTTTGGTTTATAGTTACTTTACAAAGGTCCAATCCTGAACCAAATCTTTTGGGGGTGGGGGAGCCCCAAAATTTGGAATTTTTTTTCATGTACCTTTTGCAGCCATTCTGAGGGTCGAGGATGCATTCTGGGGCTTTTTACAACCTTTTTGAATGAAGAGAAATGTAATAGACCAGAAATTCATCTTTTTCTCATTATTTTGGGAGGCACTATCGATCCACCCTTACAACCACTTTTTCTTGACAAATCACTGTATATTTTCAGTCATCCCATGAAACACAATTTTTGTTAGCTACATTCCTCTGATGATGCATTTACAACTATTCATACAAACCAATATGGGCTAAGTTGTTTGCTCTCTGATACACACTGGCATTCTTACATTGGCCAGATCATTCCAGGCAGTCTACTTCCAGTGCATGAAACAAACTGACAATCAGACAAGCAATAAAGTACTTTTCCTGAAAAGACACACACTTAAAGGCACATAAAAAGTCTTCAAAATGAGACATGTAAAATTGCAACATTTTCATTTGTAAGGATTAAGAAACAATTGAACTATGAGCCGGCTCTATGTGTACATGTAGGTTGATATGATATGGTATGTTGCTTGAAACATATCTGTACATTTGTGTTGTCATGCATAATTAAACCAAAGTTTTTGTAATATTACTACATTTGTAAAACATCACCTCTGCAGACTAATTACACTCAAATGTGATGTGTATTCACAAATGGGCCACTACAATTGCATAGTTGTTGCAGTGTAATTTGACATGCATTGTATATGTTTGGGGAGATGATTTTTCCCCATAAACATGACAAAGAAGGTGGTTGATTTGGGGGAAAAAAAGAAGAAAAACAAGCAAAATCTTTAATTTAATCACACACTGTAAGAGAGCAGTTGATAAAGAACACAATGGCAGGAACTTTGCACTTTGCAGATATGGCAAACAGACATTAAATAAACATGCAAACATTGATTGTGCTGGCATTTTGTTACTGAGTCAACAGATTCATGTGCAGTTATATGAAAAGATTATGTACATGTACATGAAAATTTCAATGCAACAGTACCATGACATGAAAAAGCATGACCTAGAGAACTGAAAAACTGAAGTAAATACTCATCCATTCAGGCCAACTTACGTTACATACCTAGAATGGACATTCTTTTGTTTTCATGTAGTTAAGAAAACTCAGTGGAATACTCATTTTTCCGGGAACATGATTTTCAGCTGGATTTTTGTAAAATGTTTCCCTGACTGTTCCTCTTCCTTTTACGACAGATATGTGAAACCCCCCAATACCTCTAAACTTCTTTTTCATAGAAGGGGAAACATTTTGTGAATGTAAGTCAGTCCACAGAACATCTTCCTTTCCTGCATTGTGTGGACATCTTTTGTTCACAAGTCCACACTAGGTATGTAAGGTTAGTGCATTTACACCAACTGAACAAATTCAACACTACAAGAAACTACAAGAAGTCTTTGTCAGCAAGCTTTAACGAAAGGAAAGACTGCAATAGCCGAAGCTCCCTTTTTTCTTAAGTATCCTTTGTTTTCTTCAGATATCCTTCCAAATAAATCAGATTACAAGATAGAATCCAGTCATCAAAAGGTGCCCCCTCCCTGGTCCGACAGAACCCGAAAGATAGAATCAAATAGTAAATATTCTTGGTCTCATTACTCAAATCCAGCAGAATTTGCCTACTGTGATATCCTGCTACATGTAGGTTTTGCACGACTGGAGTTAAGGACATGTACCAAAAGGCTTATTTAAAAAGCCTGCTTTTAATTAGCTGGAGATATAAACAAAGCTACATTAAGGAAAACCCAGACTTATTTTTATCAAATCTCCCCCTCCCATTGTCTCATCCTTAATGATGAGTAGCTTGATTAATAAGCTGGAAAATCAAGCCATGTGTAAACATGAGAACAATCATGGTGTGCAGAAGTAAGCTTGGAAAAATTCAAAGAACGGTCAAACCATTTCTTTCATATACATTTCAAATAAATTTATGTTTTCAATATACAATACACACTTTAAATAATTTGATACTGTATTAAAGTTTAGATAAAATCCATCACCTACATGTATCTATAACCAGAGGCAGTGATCAAGAATAAAACAGCGTTTTGCATTCTATGTGCTTTTTTACACAAATCTTGTTCCCTCTTCTCTTAATTTTACCAATTAAACATAGAGTGTCCAATGATGAAAATGATGGGGGGTTGATATATGAACAAGAAATTATGCTTGATACTACTGTATTCCAATAAACTCAGTGATTGGAGGTGCATTGACCATTAAGGCTTTGTACTCCTTGACAAAGAGCTTGAGTCGATTGACGTATTCTTTCTCATGGTAGGGCAACTTGTGATCCTGCAGATACTTCTTCACAATTGGCCGGATCTTCAGACACATGTTGTCAGACAGCTTGGGGAAAAGATGGTGCTCGATGTGGCAACCAATGAGTGAGTGCCCAAAATTCCAGTCCAACAGGAGATTGTGGGATAGGTTGAGGACACCCGAGGACATCATGTACAGGCGAGGTGGGCGGTTCTCAGGGAGGTACATGGAAAGGCCGATGTGCTGAAAAATGTTGACATGGATGTAGGGAATCTCCATGACTGCACGAGATGATAACAGGCTAAGCACAGCAGTCGTCAGTGATAGGCCTGATACATACACTAGGAGGGAGATGTTGGCAATAAGGCCTAATGTAACCACGACAGCACACTGTACGGCCTTCTTCACCTTCTCCTCCTGGAGGAGAAAAACAACTGCCAGAACTGGATACAAAGGAGGTAGGAAAAGGGGTGCCACAAACATGTAGATCAGGCAGGGCAGAAATGGGACTCGCCAGGTACTAGAGTCACCCAGCCCAATGATATTGGTGTGAGGATGGTGAATTTTAACATGAGTGCTTTTGGAGAACTCAGCGGAAAATGAGCCCAGAAACTCCACAAAGAAAACTTCCCAGAAGTGACTGGCAATCTTGGAGCGACAGAGAGCTGAATGGATAGCAAGGTGTGCCATCTTGGTTTTCACCATGCCATAAAAGAACCCCATGAGCAGGATACCAACAACAAAGGGGGGCCATGTTGGATAGCCAAGAAGCAACAGACCTGGGGGCACCAGGGCAAACCCTGATGCAATGATACACCAGTCAACCCCATACAAATCCCACCACGATGCCCTGCTTTGAATTGCCTGGACAGCATGGGTGAGCTCACTCATGCTACCTCCATTGAGTGTATCAGACAGGACTTCTCCATTTGCTTGCTTCATTGACTTACGCTCCATTGTGCTGACTTCCAATTTGGGCAGATGTACCAAATCTCTGAAAGTTTATAAAGTGTGTAAAATAAATGAAAAAAAAAATGCTCTGAGATAAAGAAATCTCAAACCATATTAAACACCAAAAAACTATAATATAACACATAAAATTCAAAACAAAATGAAATAACTCTGCATTTAAAAGTAAGCTTGTACCGATGTACCAATTAGATGTATGCTCAGAAATTGAAGCAAAGAATGTGCTTTGAAACAATCACACTTTTTAGCAGGGTTGGGTTTACAAATCAGAATATTTAAATTTATATTCGATTTTTCTGTTTCTATAAAACTTGGAGACAAGTAATCTTATTCCAAATCTTGCAAATGCCTGTTAATTTTCTATCATTTATATCTTTTTTTTACAAAATTAAAGAAATTTGGATTCAAGTTAAGTAATTTGATTAAATTCACAACCTCCCCTGTGAAATGCATGCAGTATAACACTGTACATGCATGCACATTAAAACAGTTCCTTCGGAACAGAGTGTCCCAAGGTAAAATGCTACAAGGTAAAATGCATCACCATGTTTTTTTGGTAGGCCTAGTGCCGAAGCGCATGCCTAGTCAACACTGCACTGGCAAAACAATCACTTACCGCTGAGAACCCGAAGTCTGAAGTGAAACGATCGATTTAGTTTGCTGCCTGTGAGATGGGTGCACTGCACGGTGTACGTGCACTTCACATCAACAGTTGATCATTTATGTCAATGTGAGAAGAAACGCGTCATAGTACGTTGCTATATAAAAGCTCCATGCTCATACAGGTACCATAGAGCTAGGAATCACAACGGCCATGTACATGTACAGTACATGCACTAAAGTTCTATGTACAAGTAAATGTCGTTCACAACACGTAGTGTAGTCTTGGTTTTAAGACGTTGCTGTTTATTGAGAACCGGCCGCCCTATAGGGCGTTATGGCAAGTGATGATTTGACAGGAATACTAACGTTTTGTAATCAAGACTTCCTGTGCTGTAATCATCATTACTAGTCACGCGCGCAGTCACTGTCAGGCTCGTTCCAACAGAGTCGGGCAGTACGGTGTGCCGCACAATCTCTCGTAATGTAACATTTGTGTTTAAGCTAGAATAACCTAATACATGTAGTCGGGTATAAGGTTGCCGCTGTCGGATTCAGATTCAAGATGGCGGCGCCCAGGCTGATCCTTTTCTGTGCAACATTTCACATTGTTTTTATACATTTCTACGCATTTGTTGTCTGTCAAGATAATCCAGCAGATTATTTCAAACGAGAACATTCTTTAATGCGGCCATATACAGGTAAATAAATTTGGAAACATCCGATCAACTGTTTGTTAATATGCCACGTCACACATGTTAACCATGCTGCCGAGTATTTAAAACATTAGGCCTACCGCCTTCATGGCCGCGGTAGTACTATTAAGCAAAGAAGTATTACATGTGTAAATTCATGAAAGTAGGGATATTTTGTGATTTTTGGGACCTTTTTTGTTCATGTGTAATCGTTGAAATGCAGAGCAAACTGATTTTTTGTACACAAAAATTAGTGTGGATTTTGACTGACATGACTGAAAAGCTTAAAATCCATATTTTCATAAAATCTTGATCATGTTGATCTTCTTCATTGTTGGCTTCACTTGAAATTAAAAAAAATTTGAAATTTGAAATTAAATAGAGCTTTTATAGAGGAGATAGAGCATGCAGAAAAAGATAAGTTTTAATCACAATTTCCTATTTAACAAAAAGAGTTCCCTCATGAGCAGCACCCTCACTCATTTGTGACCCACTCTGCAAAAAGAGTAATAAGTTGCGCAGTGCCAAAACACATAATAGCCTGTTCTATTTGGAGAGGGCAAAATTTCTTCAAAAACCTGAGTTTGTGTTTTTTCCTTTAATACTTTCTCTGATATCTATATTTTCAGAAGTTGTGACTACAAACAGTGATACTGATGAATAAACATGAAAAATTGATCATTCAGTAGGAAATCCTTTATAACATTGCGTGTCCAGGCGCTACACTTTATAAGCTTTTTCTCGAAAAGTGCTTTTCTTGAATCCGAAAATGTGGATACAAATATCTATATATCTCAGGAACTACAGGGGTCATTCATATATCAAATTGTAGCTTTTGATGTTCAGAATCCAACCACATCAAAAACTCATAAACTGAATCTGGCGACTTATTACCCATTGTTCTAGAGCCGGTCGCATCTGTGCACGCCCCTATCATGGTCTTGAGGTGGTACGCCCCAACTGACGTGCATGACTGTATAGTCGCCACGTCCCTTATTTCCGTGACTAAATCAGACTTAACAATAGGTGGCGAAATTAAGGACCTGTAGCAATTATACCGTCACACACCTTTATAGACTGTAGCGTCTGTTCCAGTTGCAGCGAAAGTGCTGCAGTTGAGTTGGGCTGGCCAGACTATTACTGTATATAATTTCTTGTATGTAAGCTTCTCCAAATTCATGCAGCACATACATGTACTTGACATACTGTAATTCCTCAAAAATTATGGTACTTTTTCTATAATGTTACAGTACAAACTTGTTTCTGCAAGCACAAGTGACTTTGGTACATGTACATCATACGTGCTATGGCCCTGATGGCACACACTGGACATCTGTGCTGTCGTTGGGCCAGTCCAACTAGAGCACCATAATTGGGATGGGCCTAACTATAGTTGGGACTGATGCTATAGTTTGAGCTTGAACAAATTATTTAGAAGTGTGTAGATTATGCAAGGATACTGCAAAATAGGAATTATATTGCCATTTTATTCTTTTTTCTTTGGTGGTTTTTATGGTTCCTGTATTTAGCACACCTGTAGGAACCAATTTGAGAGTTTGTGATCAAAATTCTCAAATTTTACAATAAATCCTGCGTAAAACCTACATAATTTTTCTATTTGTAAAGTATTTCCAGGTTTCTTGCAGAAGTTTAATGCTTGCTAAAACTGAAATAGATGAATTAAGTAGTTAATTCCCTTAATCATTAATGAATTATTTAATTTTTTTCAAGGCTGTCGTGTGACTAATAAGGTCATTGGTCATCTTGTAATAAACATTTTTAATCTGTTTAATTTTAAAAGCTATTTTAACAATTCTTTCAGATATATGAAGCTTAAAGGTGGAGTACACGTTTTGTACAAACTTTTATTTTTTTAAAATTGACTGATTTAGGGGTTTGTTATTTACTTTGTGTATCATTCCATAACTTATTTCATGTTTTTGAGTTCACTGCTTTGAGAAAATCAAGAAAAATGCTTATATTTGTTTTTAACACTCAAAGTGCAGTGCGTGTAATTTGTCTTGTAAAAATCCATGGGCCGCAGGATGTTCCTAAGTGCCTTGATAACGAACAAATAAGGTCGATCTGCAGACCAATTATGGCCCTCAAAAAGTACAGTTTTTACAAATGCACAACAAGTATCAACCACACAGTCATGATTCATCCCATACAGGTAGGTAAAAACTGTCCACACACAGTCAGTGCAAGTCATAAATGCTTAGTAAATCAGTAAGTGTGGCAGTTACCCTCATATTTTGGGCGTGAGAGTTATGATTGCAAAAATTGAAGGTTAAATGTCTCAAAATTGCAGATTTTGTTAGAGAAAACAGGCTTGGCCACGGGGCTGAAAAAGAATCAGCCATGTTGCGAAGTGTGCATAGTTTGAACCATATGACTATCTGAAGGGGTGATAGTGAGATGGTGTCATGGTGATATATTCATGTGAGGTGAATTCCTTTTTCATGACGAAATTTTAATTTCAAAGTGGTCCGTACTCTCCTTAAGCCTTTTAGTTACATTTTAAAAATCTATTTTATCACTTAAAAATGTGCTTGGGCATACCAAACACATGTGTTCAGTGCTTATTTTCACCCATTAATATAGACTCCTCCAATAGATAAACCCTCACACACATCTTTGTTCTGCCTGTTAACGGTTGTGGTATATAAACAAATTGTGTTTTAAGAAGATCTTTTCTTACAATTGACAGCGTTTTGGGCATGAAAATTTCACAGATTATTTGGCCCTATTATTTAATTATTTCTCAGTAAGATATTGAGAGATAATTCAACAGTACTGTTTTTGAGGTTTTGCAGCTCTTGTACACTGCCTTTAAAGCATGTCCTGTTTCATACAAGCAATAAGTCCCGCATTATCTCAGTGTTATAAACTCATAAAGATAGAAAAATAGGATTCAATCATACATGTAGTTATTCAAAATAGCCATGTGCTTGTTTGTTTGCAATCAGTGTCGAATGGCAAATAAAAGCTGAGCAATGATGTCTGTACTATAGCTGTGAGTTAATGCAGATGAGGCGTAGCTACGGGAATTCCTTTGTCATCATGCATACCTCATATCTCCCTCTAAGTCAGTCACAACACCTTAATTTAATGGACTTTTCCCACGAAATATGCAAATTGGATGGGCGCATGCGCACTACTACCACTGGTTGGCAAGTGCGGCCGTCAAAACCGTCGGTAGTGTAGGTGAGCTTATAGTAACCATAACCTGGTGCATTGGAAGTCAATCAAAACCGTATTACAGCCTTTGCCCGATACTTGAGCATGCTTTTCTTGAAACTAAGTGAAGTTATCAGTGTCCTGAGGTTGGAAAGTAACAGTTCCTTGTCTTTAAGTTTGGCACTTATGTCAAAGTATACTAGCACAGAAACGGCGATAGTGACGCACGCATTGAGATTTGTATTGTAATGTTATAGATATAAGCAACTTTGCCAACCAGTGCTGGTAATGCGCATGCGCCTTCCTTATTTGCACATTTCATGGGAAAGGTCCATTCTTACAATGCCCGCCAGGGAACAGCAGAAATGTGAGTCACAAAAAATATGGACACCAGTGTGTAGTGTTGAGCAGACAATACACACGTACACTTTCTTCAGGGAAACTTTTACCATGGGCACTTGATTCATGCTTCATGATTTGCTTTCCCATAAACATGAACACTGGAGTTGATCTTTATTTCTTGCCTGGAAAACTTCTGTTTTTGGACTTGAGACTTTAGAACTACTTGTACATTTAAAGAGCATTTTTTGTCTTTTTATGACTGTTGATCAGGATCTGGTGCCAGTCTTCCAATGTGGGATATGCAAGGGCACACGATGATCACCAATAATTACATCCGACTCACCCCAGATCGGCAGAGTCGTCAAGGAGCCATCTGGAACAAAGTGGTAGGCACTGAAACATCAACTAAAATTAGTGTTAGGGGGGGGGGCTTGAAGTAATGCTGATGATTGTTCGTAACTAAAGTAGGCATTTCAGCCTTCGGTAGTGATCAGGGTACACATACAGTACATGTAAGTGCACACGTTTTACATGTACCATACGTGTATGTGTACATACATGTACATTGTATGAGCAGCACTGCATCAGTCAAGGGCTCTAAGGCATCCCTGTCAGTTTGGCATTGACCATGGAGGGCAACATATTCCGTTCCTTAGATGGATGTTTTCCTTGCTTTCAGTTCAGATTGAACTAGCAGTGTTTGGCCATATTTTAACAGTTATACATGTAGTATTGTATTTGACAAATTTGATACTTTCATGCAAAGTATGTTTGAACTGGTCCTGAAGCAATCTCAGCTCCCTGGGGAGTGTATGTATAACTATTAGGTGTGAAATGTGTACCAGTGATTTGCCTGCGTCCACTCACAAACAGGATTCTACATGTACATGTATCTCCTTCAAATATGTTTTTAGATACCAATGTAAATATGTGGTGTGTTCTGTGAAATCAAGCAAAGTCTCTAAAGGAGGATATAGCCACAAATGATCCTGATATACATGTAGATGTATGTACTCATTGAAGAATGTTGGGTACAAATTTCTGACTTTGGTTTTGACTGCAGAATTTTGATGTTGACTTATTGCCCTGTTGTGCCGGGTTTTGGCAAATCACCACACCACTTGTTTGGAAGGTTTTCAGTTGCTCATCTCAGGCCAACAAAATTCAACAGAACTTTAAGTAACTGGGTATTTTTAGATGCAATATTGGGCAAAGTTAATATTAATAATATTGCACTGGAATAAGTAAAGCTCTTTGATTTTACAGTATTTATTGTGTATTTTGATATCATAATGAATATAAACATTTGTTTCTGGAGAAAATGTTTAGGGTTTCTACTGACTTTCATTGTACAATACTCTCTGAAAGGCCTATAACTCAAAAGTGGCTCTGGTGACCTGTGACTTAATGTGTCAATTTCATAGAGCTGCTTAAGCACAAATTTGCTTAAGCGTGAAAAAAGCCTTGCTTGACAAATCAGGTTACCAGCCAAATCTCTGTGTGATGTATATTGTTTTGGAATGGTATTCACCTGTCTTTTGGTTAGCATGATAATGCGATCACATAGATTTTGAGCAGCCTTTGTTTTTTTAAGCAAGGTTTTTGTACTTGAGCAAATTTTGTGCTTAAGCAGTTCTATGAATTTGGCCCCTGTCATAATTGAATTCTTGCTGTTAAGCTGTCTGAATGTTGCAATAGACATCTAGGGATATATATCTTTGTGTACATATGGAACATATTGTAACAGGAAACTATTCAATTTCTTCTCCAACATGCACAAGAATTGTCAAAAATACTTCTTTGTCGTTTTCAAATATTTCCAGCCGATAACAAATGGCTTTTCTATTCAACTTCCACATCCAAACCCTTGTTTAGTCAAACAGGAGCCCCAACTGGGAAATTCACGTTGAGTTCAAAGTACATGGGCAAGGCAAGACACTTTTTGGTGATGGCTTTGCAATCTGGTACACTAAAGAGAGAATGCAGATTGGTAAGTTGAGTTTGCTTTTGGATGTATACCAGATCAATGAAAGTTGTTTTTTCCTTTTTTTTCCCTGATTGTAAGTTCTCAAATAAGTTCTGAGTCTGATTGTTTAGTCACCTGTGAGTCTATGCATTTTTAGCAGTGAACTCATACTTTTGCAGCGGATCAATTATTTCGGCTCCATCATTGGCAGTGACACTGGTGTGAATGCAGCTGTGAAACACTGCAAGAAATCCTGTGAAACTTTGAAATTCTGATGTATTTTTAAAGTATGCAGTTTCACATCATTTAGATAATGTTGATATCCATTGAATCATAAAATTGACAGCTGAACAAACAAGTTTAACCTTTAGAAAGCAATTTTGAAACAATTAAAATCAGTGAAAGGTTAAGATAAAATGAAATCCAGCTGAAGTGCAAAGTGTACCGTTGGCAATGGCATAGTTGTTTTATGGAGTTTAGACAATAACGTGGACTGAAGTCTAATTTTGCTGCTCATTCCAATTCCATGTACATGTGTATTATGTGCACTAAATATGAAGGCACTTTGTTCTGTAATTTATGGTAGATAGGTGGGTCATTCCATGAGGTTGGGACACAATTTGTGATGGTTTCCTTGTTACATAGGTAACTTTTACCAGTGATGTAGTTGAGTACTTTTTGAAACCAAGTTCTCTACCAAATATTTAACTAGTTAGGATGGAACAAAGCTGGAGTACATCGGCATTTGATGGTACATGCATAAAGGTAAGATTGCAAAGCAACATAATGACTTCAGACCATCACTGTTTGATTAAAATTAACTTTTTAGGACAAAAGTACTCGGAAAGTACTCGGCCGAGTACTTTCCGAGTACTTTTCTCCTTAACCCCTTCTCACCGGGAAGTGGTAAGAACCGCTGTAAAAATTGAGATCCCTCAGCCTGCTTTTCAGCTATTATTCTCGGCCCATGCTCGAGCAAACACGGTGAAAGAAGGCAGACCCTGGCTCTTGTATATATGATTATTGACCTTTGTGTCTTGCCAAGAAATGAAAAGGCCGATTTTGCATCATAATCACCAGCTTCACATCAGCCCCCACTTTGAAAAGAGGTGAGTAGAGCCACGTACCACCGAACAATCAGCCTTTTCACTGTGTAAATCAAAGTGTGCAGAGCACGCAGGACCACAAACCAAGAATTTGGCAGGTGCGGTTTGGCAGGTGGCCTTCATAGTCAAGCAAGGCTGGAATTCTCAGAGTTGGCTTTCAGAAAAAAGTCCTGACGTCAAGGGGATAAAACTTAAATTTTACACAACTGGGAGTGTCTGAAGTCTAACATTTATTTTGTAATCTTACCTTTGCACATTTACCATCAAATGCCTGTGCACTCTGGCTTTATTCCCTCTTACCCAGTTCAGTATTTTGTGGAGAACATTGGTACTCGGAAAGTACTCGATTACAACACTGACTTTTACCACCTGTCATGACCTGTAGAGTAGGTCATTTACTCTGTAGAAATAACCCACGCCTCTGTATTCAGCCTTGCAAGATGTATAATTTGAAATCCACACACAGGGAAATAGCTGTTCATTTTTATGGAACCCACGTAACAATGGACACCATCACAAATTGTGCCACTCTCATGGAATGACCCAGGTACCAGTACCTTCTTGTCTTTAGTATCCGGGTTAGTATTCTGGATGTGTATATTTTTATGGCAGGTCCTGTGTTTGGCAACAAAGACTTTCACACAGGTCTTGGAGTTTATTTTGATACTTACAGCAACCACAATGGTCCACACAATGTAAGTATCTATCCAACTGTCTGAGAGTAGTGACAGTAACATAGGATCATTTTGCATTGCATTTTGGTCGACAGTTTGTGTAAAACCTGAAACAATTCTCAACTTTAATGCAGATAGGGCCTAATCTTCCAAGTCAGTCCTCTATGTGGCTGGAAAGCTACAGTTCATCATGTCAGAAGGCCCTTACTGAAAAATTGCTTTAAAACTACGTCCTTATTCAAAAATACTATCAGGCAACAGACTTTGTTGAAATTGAAATACTGTAGGTTGGCCCAAGAAAACTAGTTCAATAAATAAAAGTACTACAAATGTAGTCTGTTTCAATGCAATATTTCCTTCATGCTCCGAGTGAGGCTCTAAGAGTATTTTCAAAATTACATTTTTGCGAGTTGGCAGCCAGTAAAAAAGCTAGAGAGTAATTCACTAAGTATTAAAAAAATGTCATGCAGCTATCAAAATACCAAACAATAAATGTTACCACTTGCTAAAGGAAAATACAATCCTCTTTAAAAGTAATGGACAATGCATGTTTTTCGGTAAAATTCTTTTCTGCAAATTTAACCTACCCGTACAAAAAAATTGGCAAAATAAGAATGCTCTGTTTATGTTTTCTTTTGAGTGGTTTGATTGTGAGTTGCTTGTTTGCTTATCAGGGAATTAAATGCAACTTTACATTTTTGAGGAGGATAGCTACTCACCGTTGCTACATGTATGATATCCATGCAGTAAACGTTGGAATGATTTGGCAGATGTAGTAGAGGGTTACACCTTTTCTCTCTATGATTACAGCACCCCCATCCATACATATCAGCACAGATCAACAACGGCACTTTGCACTATGACCATGACAGAGATGGAACACACACACAGCTTGCTGGCTGCCATGCCCCCTTCAGGAACAGGGATCATGAAACGCATGTTGCTATTAGATACCTAAGCGGCAGACTCGCTGTAAGTAGCAAGCTGTATGCCATCTGATCCATTGTAATTTATAAAAAGGACACTGTGCTATTAGCTCTGTGTACTTCTTGTTGAAGTGCTACGTTGTACAAATATGAACTGGTTTGAGGATGGACAGTCGATGCCCAAGGTATTGAAAAATGACAAACTTGTTCCCTTGGCTCTACATGTACTGTATGTCAAAACTCATCAACTTCCAAAACCAAGGGGAAGTACTGTAAATTATAACACACTTCTTGTGGATTCTTTATCCTGGTTGCCTCAAAGACGATAACATGGGATTGACTAATAGTAATACACATGTAGGCTAGTGCATGGAATTCGCATCAGTGTCAATTAGACTAATGTTTAGACATCACATGTGTATAATTTCCATAGTGTAGTTCTTAATCAGGCACTATACTCAAAATGTTTGACTGGTTACAGCACTCTTACATGATGTGAACAGTGAACAGCACCTCAATCTAAACTGAATCTGGGAAAACTAAAAATGTTTCTTTAAATTTTCTTGTTGAATTACATCAGAGTTACATAGTTCAATTATGAAACCATTAAAGGTTTCTTGTCTTATTTTATATTGCAGACAGAGATGTGTTATGAAACACGTTCAGTCACTTGTGCACTTCTATGCCTCCTAAGGGCCTGTGGGGGACCACATGAGGGTCCTAGTGACCTCATTGCTAGTGCATATACAGTAAACTCTCAACAACTCAAAAGTCTGTTAACTCAAAACTCTGCTTATCTCAAAGACATTTTTCATTCCTGCCAAAAGAATACACTTTTATGTACAAAATACCTCCATAACTCGAATCGCTCACACCAATACAACCGCTTAACTTGAAGTTTTTGAACATGTTGATGGGCCGATCTAAAAAGACCTCCGCCATATCACTAACATTGGGTGGAACAAGAGTCGACTACAAAGCGTACTTAGTCTTTTTGCTTGAGGACATGTGAATACTTGCTGCAGTTGTAATCAACTACTAGTCATGACTGGATCACCTCCTGTAGCCTATAAAAATCCTGGCTTTCAAGCAAGCGTTATTGCTATTGCAGCCCATTTGTAGCCCGCAAGCTTGCAGTCCAGTTGTTGATTTTTTATGGTGGCCGTGCGACATGCACTGAAAGAAGCTTTGAGCATGCAACTGCTAAAGCCTGGCTGCTGCTGCCTGCCCAATTGCAGCAATCGTGCACTGCTCACATGCTGACTGTCCAGTCACAGCCCATGTGTGGACGTAATGGACATACATTCCTGTGGTAATGCTGGAAATGCACTGTTTTGCGTTGCCAAATCTCACTCGAATTTTTTAAAAAGGGTAAAAAAGGAAAGTAAGGGAATAAAAAAAACAAACGAAACCACACAAATATATTTTAACAATTTTTCTTGAATGTTTGCTTGAATGCTTTTAAACATAGTGTGCCCTCGAGCGATGAAAAAGGAATGATCATGTGGCCAAATCCTCCCCACATTAGTGTGGGTCAGGTCTCCTAGTGATACTTACCCCTGTCCAGCCTGCATATGCAGATTTCCCATGTGCCTATTATAATTCGCTGAAAAGACTTGATTATGCATGCTGCCCCTTGACCCTCCACAATGCACTGCAGTCTCGCCACCATGTTTGTCTTTTCGAAGTGGAGAAATTCCTGGAGCCAAAGTGAGGAAGGATGGGCGGGAGCTGCTGGACAGGGGCAAGTATCGCTAGGAGACCGGATCCACACTTATGTGGGGGACGAGTCTCCTACGTTCACATACCCCTGTCCAGCCTACATATGCAGAGTAGCACCGTATCCTGGAGGAGGGTCGGCGACGGGAGAGTAATTACAAGAGAACATAGGCGGGCGTCGCCCAAGCGAACACTCACCAGAGAAAAAGGTATCTGCAATGAAGAGTTCATTCGGTGTGGGACGGCGCTTGATGCTGTCCCAATCACCGAGCCCAAAGTTGCTGCGCCGTGAGCCATCTCACTCCGCAGAACATCCTTCAGGTAGCACTCGGTGAAGGTGGAGGTGGATTTCCAGCAAGCCGCCTGGCATATATCTGCCAAGGAAATGCCTCTGAAGTACGACCAGGACGTGGAAGCGGCACGAACGTCGTGGGCTCTGATAAGAGAACAAGTCGTCTCGTCATGCTGAGTCGGCCAGTCTTGGTTCGCAAAGATAATGGCCGAGGTTGTCCACCGAGCAATAGTGTCTTTCGCTGCTGGATGAAAGGGCTTTGTGGTAGTGATGAAGAGTCTGGAACCAGGTTCACGACGATGCTTGGTCCTGGCGAGGTACCACTTAAGAGTACGAACTGGACACCATTTCTTGTCAGAGTCATCTCCGGAAAGAGAGGTCATATAGGGGATAAATATGTCTGGAGGCTGGAAAGTAGGCGTCTGGTTCTTTGTCAGGAACTCAATGGCTGGGATAAGACGAACTCTGTGCGGTTCCTAGGGAATGTGACCTTGAACAGTTGACAGAGCATGCAGTTTGCTGCCACGTCTGGAGGTAAGGACGGCCAGGAGGAATGCTGGTTTGATGCTGAGATGGAGGTCAGATGCATCGGAAAGTGGCTCGAAGGGTGGACCGGCGAGAACACGCAAGACGCTCCCAAGGTCCTAAGACAGAACGAGCCGTTTGACGTGAGGACGCTCGACAAACATTCCCCGAAGGAGATGGTGGATGGCAGCGTTATCAGAAATCGTTGACCCGTTGCTGAACCCAGAATGGACAGCTGCCAGGGCCGACCGGTAGTTGCGGATGGTGGCAATCCGGAGGCCAGAGTGAAAGAAATACATGAAAAAGTCCACAACGGAGCTTATAGAAGCTTCAGTTGGAGAAACATTGTGGTCGTTACACCATCTATTAAAATGTTGTAGTCGACTATTGTAAATTTTGCGTGTGGACGGTTGTTGGCCCTTGCTGCCATGGATGCAGCGTCTGCAGAAAGGCCTGACGCTCTGAATGATCCTCCAACACATCAAGTGAAAATCGCTCGGAGCTGGATGGAGGATTCTTGACCTGGGCTGACAAAGAATGTCCTCCCTGGGCGGAAGGATCAGTGGTCGACAAACCAGGAGTCTTAACAGTCTCGGGAACCAAGGCTGGGGAGGCCAGAATGGGGCCAAGTGCTGCTGGAAGTGGTGAAGGGCATTGAATACTGTCTGAAGTTCCAGCAGGTTGATGTGTTTGTTGTGCAAGAAAGCGTCCCAAACCCCGGATGTGTGAAATGAAGGAAGGGAGGCCTCCATCCGAATAGCGACGCATCCGTTGCCATTGTGACGTTTGGTCTGGAGGGAGAAAAAGGACAACCGGTCGACAGGTGCTCGTTGACGGTCCACCACCGGAGGTGATTGCGAACCTCTGGTGGGAGAGGGACCAAGGTAGAAATCATTTCGTTCTAGGGGCGGTACCGAGACAGGAGATGTAGTTGAAGTGGCCGCATCTGCAGTCGACACCATGGGACGAGGTCAACCAAACTGGCCATTAGTCCGAGAAGATGGAGCCAGGCTAGCGCCGGAGGTGCCTCGGATCGCAAAAACTGAAGGACGCATTGTTGTAGGTTGAGGATGTGTTCCGGTGTCGGGGCCACGATGCCTCTGTGAAGGTCGAGGATTGCCCCAAGGTAGGTCAGCCGCTGTGCTGGGTTGAGGGCCAACTTGTTGTGGTTGAAGAGGAACCCCAGGCGAGTCGTAACATCGAGGGTGAGAGAGGTGCAGGCTCTGGCCTCGTCGGGGGAGCGACCGACAATGAGCCAGTCATCCAGGTATTGAAAAATGAGGACGTTGTGCCGTCGTAGGTAGGTGGCGACAGTCTTGGTGATCCTGGTAAAGACCCTGGGTGAGGTTGAGAGGCTGAAGGGAAGGGCCCAAAACTGGTAGGTTTGGCGGCAGTACTCGAAGCGGAGGAACTTGCGGAACTGTTCGTGTATTGGAAGATGGAGATACGCGTCCCGCAGATCTATGGAGGTGGCCCAGCACGGGACTGGTAGGGAGCGCAGAACCACTCTCAGTGTCTCCATTCCAAACCGCCTTGGCTGGATGAAATTGTTGAGCGGTTTCAGATTGATTATCGGTCGCCATTTGCCCGGTTCTTTCTTGGGTGTCAGGAAAAAGGACGAGAGGAAACCGGTGGATAATTGGTTTGGATGTACCGTTGTTATGGTTTGTTTGCATAATAGCGTTGAGATCTCCTCCTCCAGAGCCAGGCGCTTAGATTTGTCGCATGGGGAGGAGTGGAACGGAAGAACATCCCGGACGGTGGGGGACTCGTGAACTCGAGGGAGTAGCCGTAGGTAATGGTGGAGAGGACCCAGCTGTCCGCCGTGATCTCCCGCCAGAACCCGATGAAGTTGCTCAGGCAGCCGCCGATGGGATCGGAATCGCGCTGTCCCCTGGAGGGATCGGGGGCACGGCGAGAGAACCCACGGCCAGCGAGGCGTGACTGGGGTCTTCTGGAGGCGGTTGTGGGCGGAGCTCGCCCGGGGCCCGACGGCCGAGTAGCTGCCCAGAGCGGAGGATTAAAAGAGCGGCTTGTAGCCGGGGTTGGTTCCACCCGTCGTCTCGGTGGCGGTGGGGGCCGTCAGCTTGAGGGAGCTGCAGGCTGACGAATCAAGATCTTGGTAGTCTCCATACACTTCACCTCTGACTCGAGGACCTCGTTTAACTTCCCGGCAAAAAGATCATTCCCAAGGAGTGGGAGATCCATGATTTTGTTCTTGACAGATTCGTAGGGGATGTTCATGGCATCCACCGTGTTGGCTAGAAGTGGCAAGAAGGGAGATATGGGTAAATTGCTCAAAAATTGAGTTGAGTCCCTTGTCGAGCCCTCGCAGAGCTGGGCCTACAAAGTCTGGGGAGACCAGAGAGTCCTCTTCACAAGCCCGGGCAATATACTCCGAAAGAAGGAGGAGGAAGGCTGAACATCGGAGGCTGAAGCAAGACGCTGAGTCCACGCGGTGGAGAACTGTTTCAAGGTTGGCCTTGTCCTTATCCCAAAAAATGTTGTGCTTGCCGGAATTTGACGAGACCTTGTCTCTGGCAGCATCAGGGATATCTGGGGATGACAAGAAGAGAGAGACATCCGCTTGAGGAAAATTGCTGTAGGACAGGGCCCTGGGAGGAGCTGTGTGCAAGCGTCTAACCTTTGCGAGGGTGTTCATCATCTCCACGCAGGAACGGTCTAAAGGAATCTCCGGGAAGACGGGTTCAGCCGACTCAAGGCGTGAAGGGTGGCATTTGAACAAAGAGTGTCCCTGTTCAGACAGCGTAGGATCTGGCAATGGGAGTTCAAGGATGTGGATCATGTCACGGGGGGGCGGGGATCCCCCAAGTGGTCAGTCATCTCCTGGGAGGAGCGCCCCGAGTCAGGATCGATGGCCTAATGACCAGAATCCATCGGCACGCCAGAGCTGCAGATGAGGTGTGGCGGTCGGAAGCCCCGATGGCGAAGCAGTCCGGAAGGGGCACCGTAATCCAAGGCAACGGGAGGCTGGGCAGCATACTGGCTAGCTGACTCGCCCGTGGCAGAAGCGGTGGAGCTAAGCGAACCTGCTGTGGAACCCGTTTGCCTGCTTAGTGGGAGTTGACTGGCCCGACTCCCGAGCGGGTGCTGCTCGGCGAGCAGGAGCCGGTGAGGGACCCTGGGCAAACGGCAGACCATTGCCCCACGGGCCCTGCTGAGCCATCGGTCAGTAGAGTCGTCTGGGGATGCAGTTGGTAGCGATGCCCGGGACCTGCAGCACAAAGAAAGGGGAACGGCTCATTACTCCCAAACAATCATGATCAAGGGCATTGTTACGGCAGAGCTCGCTCAACCCGATCTGTTGGTGCAAGGTGGGCGCCGAGGACCACAGGTAGAGTACGAATTCAGCATGCCAGTTCGGTCGGTAGGTGAGTGGGGTAGTCATCAGTGATCAAGGGCATTGTTATGACACCGCTCTCTCAGCCTGATCAATCCTGGTAGTGGTCATTAGCGATCCAGGCATGTTGCGGTACCTCGCGCTCAGCCTGATCTGAAGATCCGGCGTATTCATTACACTGGGTCTCTCCTCGTTGAGGCCGCTAATCGGATAACGCAAATCGCACCACAAAGGAGCAGGGCAGCCCACCAAGCCCCGCTCTGCAGCCAGACCCGTATAGCGTTGGGCCGTTATTATTGGAACATACGCACCGCAGTTTTGGTGGTTTATGTTTTACTTATCAGGTGAATCGAAAATTTTCCTCAAGAAAAACATGAAACCTTAGCAAACTGATGAATTTTAGAATAAATTTAATCTTGAATGTAAAGAAAGAAACACTCATAATTTCTTCAGTAACTGCCACGGGGGCAAGTAGTGTTGCTGGAACACTGTACGTGTAAATGTGCGGGCAAGACTCCAGAGCTTTCGTTAACTCGAAATCCGGATAACTCAAATGTTTTATCCATGATTGTGAGGTTTGAGTTATTAGGGGTTTACTGTATTTGTACCATCCATCCGAAAGATGCCATGGTTTTTTTTTAACTCTTTACATACAAAACCATAGGAAACCCTGTGACAAGCTACATGTACGGCACATGAGGTACTTTATTAAACTCGTGCATTCACATGGATCACTGTCACAGGGATCAGTTATTAACCCACTCACTTTGAAATTTGCACAGATAATGACTGACATTGATGGTAAGGCTGAATGGAAGACCTGTATTGATGTCAGTGGAATCAAACTACCCACAGGATATTTCTTTGGAATCTCCTCAGCAACTGGTGACTTAGCAGGTATGGTATGCTCATCTTTGCCTTTCCCATCTATCCTTGCTTGGTGCAGAATGGATTCTGCAGAAGTAGATGTAACAAGCACTGGGTATTTTACTGTATATGATCATAAAACTGAAAATCACACAGGACATGAATGAATTGAAACGGAAAGTTACCTTGTGAATTATATGCGTTTAAAAAACAATTCAAAACCTTGGGCTGCACTAGACACTGTAACTGGGGTACACTATTCCTGTTTTTTTTTACTTTGACAATCGCGCTAGCCTCCAGCGAAAAGCCTGGTTTTGCTGCGGTTACCACCCACTGAGCACCCCAAAAGTGCCCAAAACAATGACAAAAACTCAAGAAAACACCTTCAAAATCACCTACAGGCTTCTCATATCAAAGGCACAGGCTTTGACACAAGCAAATTTTTCAGCTGCACAGACCTATTTGCCTCATTGCAAAACAACTGTGTAGACATGCTAGCAGCTACATGTGCAAGCACCCATTGGAATACATGTACTTGCCAAGTGTTCAGTGAGACAGACTGCATTGTCTATAAAATCTACATTGGTGTTGATTGTGGGCTTGCCTTAACATTGGGCCATTTTCTATTAAAACTCGTCGTCTGAGTATTCCAATGGACGCTGTTGTGCTAGTTGTTATGGAGCCGTGATTTAATAGGTATGAAAAACTTATTACCAAAGTTTGTTTGGTAGCAGGCAATGTGAGTGGAATATGGTTATATTTTATCAGTTTTCAGCCCAAGAAATGATTGTGAGTGCCACTGAAGTCACATTACTTCGCCTTTGATATGTTTGAGAAGCCATTGGGCAAATTTCAAGGTATTTTTTCAAGGTACTTGTTTGTAGCCCAGCAACATGCATTCTGCTTGAAGCCAGGTGTATCAATCAGGAAATCAAAAAATCATTAAAGGAGCACAGTGCCCCATTTACTGGGTCTAGGTCTGTACCTTGTTTTGTATTATTTTTTAGGAGTCCATGAGATGTACGATGTATTTTTCATGTATGTGTATAGGAGCTTTCACACTAGACGAATTCTCCGGAAAATTGCCAGGGAATATTGGTCGATCTGTTCACGCTACCAAAGAAATTACCGGGGAAAAGCTTTTCTCCAGGAAATATTAACCCCTTCGCGAGAGTAGGATTAGAGGAGAAAACCGCTGAGTTTAACGTTTTTCCTGGGGAAAAGCAACTACATGTAGTGGAACGTCAGCAGGTTTGAACTTACTCCACCTTTTTGCATCCACGGCTAGTGTGTCAAGCCGTAATCTCAACAAGTCACAGGGTCACAAATAGTGCACCAAATAGTTTGTGTAGTAACGAAATACAGTACCTTTCAAACTTGCAATGTCAACTCGGCATTGCGCAATGTAAACAACAGCAGCTTGTGCATGTGCGCACGCCCGGAATTGTGGGATTGGCCTTTCGCCCACAATTCATTTGGGAACTTCCAGATGGGCACCCTCAGTTTACACATTTCCTGGGTTTGATTGCCAGCGTGAAACAACTTTGCATATTCCCAGGAAAAAATGTCTCCGGAAGTTGCCAAATGGGTCTAGTGTGAACGATTGCTGGGGCTTGGTGGGTAGAGATTCAAAGAATTACATTATATACGATCAACTTATTTTGAGGTTGTATTAAGTTTTTACAAATGTACACATATGGATATGTGATTAATCTGTATTTCCTTAACAACTTGTCTTTTCAGATAACCATGATATAATTTCTGTTAAAACGTACGAGTTAGAAGGAGCAGACAAGTCAGTAGACTATGCAAGTCTAAATCCATCAGCAGACTTCTTTGCCCCACCCAGAGGTAAGACAGATTGGTACATGCATTCATCTTCTGTGGGCAACATCACAACTCACGAGCCTTCTCTGATTTGATGCACCACATGCATGGATGGAGTGTACCATGGTCATTGCGTATTGAAGACAATAACATTTAATGGCATGGTGGTATGATGGAATTGTAGCTGGAGTTTTTGAAAGATGATCAGGTGCTTATAAAAAGGTCACAGTAGCAACTTCTTGAAACATCACCATTTAACATTCTCCTGTGTAAAATGACAAAGGATTTCTGTTCGTGAGCTACATGATTTCTCCCTCTCTAACTTGAGAATGCGACGAACATGGAAATGCGTACTTAACAAATTGGCTGCACATGATTTATGCATGCAAACCAAAGCAAACTTGGCTTTGTTGTTTTTCAATTGCATTTCAGATCATGTCGATGATCCTGGTGGTGCCTTTCGTGGTGGCTGGACCGTGAGTCTCAAGAACATGTTCTTGTTGATTTTTTGTTGTGTGCTTGGCTTCTTTGTCTGCCTGATTGTGGGTGTGCTCATCTTCCAGAAGAGACAGGAATATAATCGGAAGAGGTTTTATTGAGACAGAATTCACATTGCGTCCAAAGAGATTTCATGGCTCAAGCTCGTTTTTCATATAGTTATAATAAACACCAGATATCACAGATGAATCCCAGTCACTCAGACCTACTTTTCACATACTCTCTCAGACTTGAAATACCCAGGAACAGTATAAGCATACAGAGCAGAACACTGACTAGAGGCAAGTAGGGCAATGCCCCCTCTGTCATTTTCACAGATTATTGCAAATGGCTCATGAAATTACCCCTTCAGTGTTCTAATAACATAAATGAAGCCTGTGAAATTTGCTGACTGTAACATTGGAGTGACAGAAGTGCTGATCTAAAGCATCCACTTTGATTTGTCCTCTGTTGAATCAAAACAGTAATCAAGAGTGTTTTCCCAGATAACAAACTCTGTGGCCAGAGTCTGGTTAGTCCTGTTTGTGTTCTTTATAACTATGTTGAAAATAAAACAACTATACACCATTGGTTTATGTTAAATATGAATTCCCAATATTTGAATATGACACATGGGTAGAAACCCGAGATTGATATCATTGTAAAGTTCCCCAAACCCTTAATGAATGTGGGATTGCAGAAAGGGATATTTTTATGTCATGTGTGTATCTGAACTGAAACAAGCAGGCTTATTACCATTGCTTACTCAATTTTAGGGGAATTCTTTGAAACAAGTCTTTTGTTGTCTTCGTTGCCAAGGTTACGTTGTAACCTTGAAGCTAATAGTTGGAACCCACCACAGTTTCACTCGTTGAATTAGGGGCTTAAACCACATCACAGCACTGAGAAGGTTCCAGAGTTATCTTCACGGTACTTGTATGTTTAAGCTACATTGTATTCATGGGATTGACACTTTAGCCCGAGATAAAAATAACTGCAAGCTTTTCTCTCTAAGAGGAACAGAAAGTCTGAGGAAGTCTGAATCTGTAAGGTTGGTTCTATATCAGTAGAAGTGTTTTCTCAGTTTCATTGACTGTGTACATTGACTGCAGTGCACGGTGCATGTGGAGTTACTGAGCTGCCACATATGGGTCTTCTTATTTTAAAGGGTCCAAAGTGGAACACACAGGCCAAAACTTGAAAGCTTATTTCCTACCTGTAGTTAGGCTAATTTGTGTTCCATAACACACGAAGTTGCATATTTTGCATACAGCAAAGGTGAAGTAAGTAGTGAAAGTAGTGACCATTTTTTATAAGCCCATAATGAAAAATTTAACTCTATGACTTTGCAAATGACTGAATAACCCCTTCATTGTGTACCATTGTGGAAGTTTCTCATAGGACCCCTTAAAAAAGGACCCATATTATGCACACAGTACTTTCCCATACCTTCTCCATGAAGGATCAGTCCATCAGAAGTCACCTGGTCTCCAGTCAACATTATTAAAATGGGTGACTACAAAGGCGTTCCTGGGAGACTTCTCGCGTGATCAGAATTGTCACGACTTGTGATAGACTTAATCATCAGTATGATTCTATCACTATCAGCAGAAAATCTGTGCACAGATGTGCTGTGAAATGGGCTTTGATGGTCAGTGGTGCTATTGGATTGCCTTCTGCAGTATTACTGATAGACACAGAAAAAAATGACTTGAGTGTCCCCGCAGTATGGAGGTGTAAATAAATCATTCAAAAAGGTTCAAGATGTCAGTGGAAAGTGCACGTAGTAGTTACCATGTCCCATCGCAGGTATATGTACATACTTGTAAACAAAGTGTTGTTAAGCACCCAAAGGATCCAACTTAGAAGGGGATGTTTTTCCATAATTAGGTTATACAGAATTGTTGACAGATGTCTGATCAGCTTTCAAAAGAATTCACAACTTTTTTACACATCTTGTCCCAAATATCAAAATACATGTATATGTAACAGGAAAACAGAATTTCTGTTGAATGAAACTGATGCTAGGGTTATTTTGGGGTAGTCATGAGTACTTCCCTCATAAATTCTGCGGTTAGATTTTCGAAGTGTGCTTTTTGTAGTGGCTTGTTCAGTGAAATATTCTGTTCATCTGTCACACAGTCAAAGAGTCCATGCAATGAATGTTTCTCAGACATCCTTCTTGTGCATCTTCATACTCATCTTCAAAGTATGAAAATTTTGACATCCTTTTGAAGGTAAGCTTATTAAAAAATGCACTTTTTCAAACATTACAAATTGTCCAAGCTTTTCTTGATGTGTTGCTGTGATTTAAATTTATGTTGCAATTTTTGAACTCAAAATTCATTCTTTGGAAACATTTATGAGAAAAGGCTGCTTGTTGGCTTAAAGCCAGGTACTTAACCAACAAAAACTAACAAAATGGAAATTTATGGAAGCAGCAAATTTTGTGCCAAAATCAATGCAACATTGAGGTTCCGTGCCTGGGATGACATCACACTTTTGCTCATGAAATTGGACATTCACATTCGCATCCTAGCAACACCAATTGAAAATAAGGATATTTGAAACACACAAGTGCATTTTCAAGGGCTGTTGTAAAATAATTGCATTGCATGGACACTTTCAACTTAATGGATTAGATGCATTGTAAAGGAAAATGTGTAGGCCTATTACATTGTGTTTCATTTTATACATTTCATACTGGACTGTTTTGTCTTCCTTGTCAGTGCATCAACCTTGTACCGAAGTAAATCATGCCAAAATATGTACCATGGGGTACACCAGAATCTTTGATAAGCAATCTCAGAATTCTTGTATCTGCCCTGGGTGTAGCAACCAGTACTCAAGCTTGTGAGTCTCTGTAGTCGCTGCATTGAGACAGGTGCAGGGGGGCAAGATGGCAGCTAAATTCCATTACAAAAAATGAGTCATACAGAACTAATGTATTTCCTTACTCTCATATGAAATGACCTTATTCCTCTGGTCAAATTACTGGACATCTGCATATTTATGTGGAGCATTTTTGAACCTGAAAAAGCATTCTGCAAACATATAACCTTTGACATCTAGTTTCCGCAATACCAGTCGGAAACATGAGAGCCATTTGGGTTTGAAACATTTTGTGGCTAATATGTAAACCCAGTTTACACAAACAGAAGCAAATAGCATAAACTCAATGACAGCAGAGGTTAATAGAAATCTTGATGGAATCATCCACAATGTCTGTGGTGATAAGCGTAAATCAAGTGTTTCCTACATGTATCAGCAATGCTGTGGGAAAAGCTGTGGGGTACACGTCAACAGCAGAAATTTTTATTACATGTATATTTATGTGTACCTAATACCTCTATTTACTACCTAAATACTGTAACGTGACATTATAAATACTTTTGTTGCCCAAAACAGTCTGCTGTATGTATATGGTTATATCTTGCATCTCATTGGTCATCAACCAGAATCTAGTAAGTGGGTAAATTTGTGACTACATAAAAAAAAAGATTTTACCCAAACCAAATGGCTAATGCAAGCCTGGAGTCATTTTTTTTCTTTCAAGTTGGATCCTCTCAAAGGTAATTTAATATGTTCAAAACTTGTACCACAAGTCAGCTTTCATTTTTTATCGCTGTCACTCGTGTCAACTAGCTCACATTTAACTTTACTGCATCATGGAGGATTATGTACGTGCACCTTATCAACATTGCAATATGCCACCTGGTTAGTTTCACCTTCCTGAGTTTTAAATTCAGTTTATCGCCATGGACCTGTTTTACTGCCTTTCACTTTCTTTACATTTCCAATTTGCCAGTCTTTAGTCATGCTTAGTGCAAAACTCAATTTAAAAATTTCCAACTCAAATCAAGTTCTTTTTGTTTAATAAACATTGGAATTTTAGTATGATTTACATGTAGATGTTAGCAAAATATTTTTTCATTTTGTTGCAACAACAGTCAATGCAAGTTTGGCATTTTAAAAATGTTGCTTTTGTAAAGAACTTTGCTGTTCCATACGAGCATTCACTAAGAAACAGTGTAGAGGAAATTCAGTACTGAAACATTGACAAAACTAATTAAGGAGAGTCAAAAGTAAATTTTTGTGATGTAATGTTCATTAAATGTACACATGCACACATTGATGTAATTGTGTGTAACATACCATTACCAAATTAATATTGCACTTGGATTTTCGTCTGTGCACTACGTGTATAGCAACAAATAACAAATGATATTGCCTCTCATTTGAAATCCTCTTTGATTTCGTCATTAAATTTATTTCTTTTTGCTCTTATACTTACTGGTATCTTAACACTGAAGCAGTGAAGGATGGCTCAACACAAGTTTAACAACTGACATGCTTGGCATGAGTTGCCTGTTTTTTTTGTTTTTTTTACTTCTGTCATTTTTTCTACAACTGTTATAAATGTAAAGAACTTCTCAAAGTTGACTTTTTATAAAATATCAAGTGGAAGTGAAAATTCTGCAATAAAAACACAAAGTAAAATCAGTCAGTTTCCGTCTTATAACATTTGACCGGTGTTTTATGCCCTTGCGTGTGCAACAGTCACAGACGTAACTTGGAAAGAATTTTGAACTGAACCCACTGATATATAAGATGCAAGTGGTATTCAACTCACATCAGTTGAGCAAAATGTCTGCTTCATATAAAAGTACTTTGCTACGTATTTAGACATCTTTGTACTTCAAAGACTGCAAGTGCATTCAAGTTCTTTCTAGCTATGCATACATGTAAAGTGACCTCATTAAAAACCAATTACGTGTACTGCAGTCAGCACAGCATGGGTGACTGACAATATCTTTCTCTAAGGCTGGGAGCCAGTTACCTGTGCTCATTTTACATTGATGAGGTTGGGTGTCTAGATTACCTGGCAGAAGAGATAAAGCTACATTCAGTTTCAGAGCGAAGAAACAGCATCAAGAATTGGGCTCAGTTTCTTTTTACTGTAATTAAGATGGAGTAAATGAACCAGATGTTTTCTGTGCTTTTGGTCAGGACTACTCAAACCAGCGATTTGCTCTGACCAGGGGCATGTTCAACAGTGCAGTCCTATGCATACCATCAGTGATCAACATGAACCAATACCAGCATACAAACAATACTACTGAACACACTCAGGTACATGATATCGCAAAATCTTATGTGTAATCTACATGTTTGAGGACAGGTTTCCACCTGTGTGCATGTTTTGTGGTTGCTTCAGTAAATACCTCCTTCCAGTCACTGGACTGCATTTTGAAGGTTTCCTCTGTACATATAACAGACTTAATTCCGTATACTTCCCTGGGACCAGATTGGCTGGTCTTATGCCAACAGTATAAAGTTACTTGAATATTCAAATTACCTGAGGTCATCACGACCACAGGCCATAAACCCAGCAGTACAGTATGCCATAAAAAAGTGATTATCACATCCAATGTGCTTAGGTTGCAACATGCACACAACAAAACACTAAGATTCTCATCAGCATGGCTCCATCTCCTAAGCTTAGCTTGGGACAAAGTGTCTTTGCCGATCCTGTCCTGTTCAGTGCACCCAGGTGCATATCAATGCACAACAACTGAGAAAGAGGGCTGGCACAGTCTTTTTTGCTTGTACAAAGTGACTAGGATGTGACTATGCCATGAACACACTGCCTGACTTAACTCTAGTGTAAGATGGAGGTAGACAAACCAAATACATGTAAGTCACTGACCCAGCTGTGACTGGTCCTGATTTGGGTTGCACAGGACTGCATGTGATACACTCATTTGCAGTGTTGCAGCCGAGTCCATCACAAGTCCTTTCATGTCCCTTCAAACATCCTTTCACAAGACCAGTCATAACAAGGTAAACAATGACAAAGAAATGCTTCTGTCACAGTTTATTCGAATTGCTTGTGACTTGACTTAAGACTGAATTACTTGAGCTTTGAAGCTTTATGTAGTGAAGGCAGCAAGTTAGTTATAGAGGTTTGCAGTAGCACCATGCAGGATGTCTCTTTTGTGAGTATGTGGTTCTCCTACTCCCTTGGCAACCTTCCCACATGCTCCCCTCCTTCACACTGACACACCTCATTGATCTGCTGTCATCCCATGTTCTGCTTGAGTGCTTTTGGTTGGATCCTGAGTTAGCATCCTCTTTACATCTCTTTGGCTTTGGCATTGGAACTTCAGCAGTCTCCTGATGGCAGATAGAGCATGCTGTCCAAAGCATTGAGTACTCTCCAGATCTTTTCAGAACCACATAATTATACTCATAAAAGAGATATCCTGCATGGTGCTACCACCAACCTCCACAACTAACTGAATTACTTGTGACACACTTCACATGGACTGATTACACTAGTGCTCATCCGAACCAAAACAAAGCTCACTCCAGGTCTCTGGCACATTGTACATTAAGCATTCTCTTATGCATCACCATTCACTACTGTACTACTCTTGAGTACAAATAGGTACCACTATTTGAGACACATAAACAAATGCCCCACTGAGATAATTCACTGAGTATCATTGAATCCAATGATACTCAGAAGAAGGATACACAAGAAGATACACATTCGATACACAAGAAGGTTCAATTGATATCTTGTAACTCAGAATCTATCCATTCTGTTCCTCTAAACATACAAATGCACAAGAATTTCCAAAGCGTTTCTTGCAGCTAAGATGAGATGTTGGCCACAACAGTTTCAAATCATAGCTGCCGACATATTTCTTAAATCAAACACCCACAACGTATGACTTGGTCTCCTTCTTTGATTGAATCTGATTTTTTTCCATATAAGTGAGCAATCAATTCCTATCACTGGCAGGTTATCTGTCAGGGATTACGGCAAAGCATGCTTTGGGTAAATGCTTGGCCAGTTCATCAGAAAGCAACAAGTTCCTGGAGACAGTTAGCATGTAAATTCTGCCCACTGGACTCAGAATGGTGAATCACTGGATGTATAAGATGCACCAGTTGGTGGAATCTGGAGGCAGGCATCAACAGACAAGATTGCGTCACCTCTGGAGTGTGTGTAGCTGGTCCTGCAGAGTATCCATAACTTCTAAGCTGTGGGGCAAAAAAAAAACCCAACTAATTAATAACAAGAAAAAATCTCATTGCTGTCTGATAACCTCTTAACAGATTTGTGTTCAAAAACACAAAGGGTTGTGGAGAACTTTGGGAGGAATCAAGTAATGACAACAACATGCCCCCTCCATTTTTTTTTTGACATTATATATTTCATTTGGTTTGCAACGATGAAAGGATGTACACGTACCTTCTTTCAATTGCCTCAGCCCTGTTGAGAAAAATGAAAAATAAGATCGTAAGTATTTCAAACAAAGAGTAACCATTTTTGTGTCCAAATTTGGCTTATACAGTGCACATGCAGTTAAGATATTAATTGAATGCTAAACTCTGAAACAATTTCATGACTTTACATTCGCTTTTTACAAAAATACCTTTGCCAGGCATGGACTACTAAACATGTACCGTCTAGTCTAGACTCTACCAACTACAATATTCAAAAGACAGTGATTGGAAGCGAAGATATTTTACAGTTAAAGCAAAAAAACAACAAGCCAATCTTTTCATCACCAACCAAAAGCAGCAATTTACACTCAAGACAATGTGCCACAAAGCATTTGCCTTAAGAGACCACTTTGAAAGTGATTGACAGCTTTCCACCATCTTATTCACGCATCATCTTGTTTTCATTGTTTGTACGTACATTGTACAATGTAGATGTACAGTATACAGAACTACAGAAATTGAAAGCCTGATGAAGCATACTTGGCGTTATTCAAACTCAACCACTTTCAACTTCTCCTGTGCAATGTGCACAAAATGTACAAACAGCCAAAACTGCTTAAAAAACAACATTATCACTTGCATGCTCATTTTGCCTTTCTTCCTAAGACCACGTGCTTAAGATGCTTACACCTACATGACCTACATGTACATTTCCACATTCTCAAAAAATCTCTTTGGCTTTTTCCAGGTCAGCTTTACTACCTATACATATACATGTACATGTATGTACAGGTGTAGGGGATTTTCAGTCACATGGTTTTTGACGGTCAGCATTCAACTTACAAGGATGTGTGCAGAAACAGTGGGGCCTTTGAAGTCTCTCAACATTCTGGCATACATGAAATTGCCAATAGAAATACAGACTCAAAAAAGCACATGCCTCCATGGACATGGTACGCTTTCTAAAATGACAAATGCAGATTATGTAAATAGAGGCTTCATAAAAATACTCACTGAAATTGAAGTTGGGATACCATGAGGCTCATCTTTTTCAAATTCTGCAAGAAATCAACAAACTGCTTTGTAATTAACTCAAAAAGTAATTTTTAGACCAAATACCAGATGTGTTCATATGCCTGTACGGAGTGAATTCAGTCAGCTACACATGTCAGTCATTTTGTGACCACTTTTGTTAACCTATCAAAAGCAATTGTGGTCGGACAAAACGTCGAAAGGAAATGTAAAGTTATATGTTCCAAAAGGAAATATGTTGTCTTCTAATTAAGGTGTCTTTCCATATGCATGTCAGCACTTGCACCAAGCATTGCATACTTGTCAATATTGCTCCGGGGGCAATTTCAATGGTCAAATGCAACGCACACATGTGTCATGTTAATGGAGTCGATTTTTCAGAAATGTATGAATGCATCGTGTATGCAGCACACCATAAAAACATACATATAGAAAGGTGCCTTTACTCTGGTTTTTTTGCTCATGGCATTTAAACCATGAGTTTGTTCTCATGAGACTTTTGTATACATACAGGTACATCCAACAGAGAACTGATAATAGCCAAAGCGTGAAATGGTAATCATTTTGAAATATGAAACAAAATACACTGAATTCCTTTGGTTTTATGTACCTGCATGTTACCCAAAATGCTTGATCAACAATCTTTTAAAATTACTGGACTGAAGTCAAGGAGTTCTGTGTAAGTGCATTTCATTTAAATCAGAATTATTTTATACAAGATTCTACCAAGGTGGTTTGAATCCCAAAGGACCTTATGTGTTATTTGACACACACATACATGTATAATCATACATGCAGTAAAGTACTTCAAAGATTGGGCCTACTGTACTCACATGAGCTGAATTATCAACATTTGCTTCATGAGTGGCAAGATTTCGTGTGGCTTGCATCAAGTGCTACAATTGGACCAAAAATAAACACAAGTTACTCATTTGTCCACTGAAAAAGAACTTTTAATAACATGGAAACCTAATACCTGTTGGCAATTCCTTACCCAGCCAAGACACTTAGCAAACCTCCAGGAGAAAAGTCCAGAATAACCTTGATATATATAATAAATCAGGAACTTTACAAAGACATGTTCATGCACATGATTCGTTTTCCCCTAGCCTTTATGTTTTAAGTGAAAGATACCGATTGATTTTCCTCAAAAGTCAATTTTATCCAATTTGTTAACACTATTCTTTGAATATGAGCAGTAGACATTTAAAGACAACAAGTATTTGTGAAACTAAACATTGCAAAAGGAACTGCATTCAAATCACATTTTCTCACACCATTACACTGTGTATCTCATATACTGTACATACATATATGCCTCTTAAATGGGTGGGGTCTTTGGCCACTCAATCATCTCCTAAAGCAATTTTCCTGCAAACTACCGGTAGACCCTAGGGGTAAAAGAAGCCGTACAATATTTTTACCTCACATTTCATGTAATTGTAAGTGAAATTTGATTGAACTCTGAAAATTGTAATTAGGCCTAATTTTTTTTCCCAAGTGCAAAATAAACTTTTGGGAAGAGTTCCATATACGGACACCACTTGACGCCCCACGCTCAGACCATATGAGACTGGTCTGAAAAATTGAGTTTTCTAAGTAAACGACTTGGTTTTTCCCACCTAAATTGATATTTTCTGGACATGTTTTTGCTTTCTGACAGCTAACAGGTCACTGTAGGAAATAATTACTGGTGGGCGTCCTGAACTTTTTAAAAATATCCCTGAAAAAGAAAATTATTTTGTTTTGAACTTGTCTTGCTTGTAGTTGGGTACATGCAGGTCCCCACGTGAGTAAATCTGGCAAGGAAAGAGTTCCATAAACGGACAACACAAATTTTCCTTTAAAACATGTATGCTACAATAGCCAAGTGATAACATGTCCTAAATAGTGAAGAAAATTACAAAGCATTGGGAGAAACATTTACTTTGAAAACACTTTTTTTCTCAGACAAGTCTCATACCGGTAGGTTTGTGCACGTGTTGTCCGTACTGTATAAGGAACTCTTTCCAAAGGTTATTTTACTTTTTAAAAATTTTATTAATTAATGTTATTAATTTAATAGGGCAAGTATTCATATGTAACTCAATTTGTAGTTTAAAAGTTTTGGCAATAATGCATGGGGAAATTCGAGGCATGGGAAACATTATGAAGTGTGCCACATAAACGTTGGGGACTCTTAACGTTACTCAAACAATGATTCTTGCGATGTTCCTTAACTTTCATGCATTTATGCATTTAGCACGCTGTTTTCCCGATATCAAAAATCAAAGTCCACTTTTAAAAATTACTGACAGTTGGACCTTGTGCATTCGTCCCTTGATACAACCCCCCCAAAAGAAATCCAGGGTAGCCATTACTCCCGGAGCTGTAATATACATGCAAGGTACACTCCCTGTACCTCACATGCACAGTTCCAAGTATTTATTGGTTTAAAATGCTATGGATGTGATGTTCTGAATATGCCCATTAACTCTGCACTTTGTCAATCAAATCATAGAGCAAGGAATGATCAGATCTTCCACCAAAAAGCAGCTCTACACAAAACAATACCTCATTAACAGTAACACGCATACTCGATGATTTTTGGACTGTGTAACCAGCTATTTTTGGGGGGAGGGGGAAAAATCCAGACGTTTTACTTACGATACTGCCTCTCTTTACCAACGATCCGCACATCTGAGCTGCATGTTTCTAGCAGTACACATTATTTGCTCGGATCCTGAGTTCCGAGTGTCTACACAAGACTAAAAAAAACTCGACGCGACTCTGTCTATAGGTTCTGGGCCTGTGTACATACCTCGTTAGATTTGGATCCGCGTAGAATCTGCTTGGCAAGACCTCCCAGATCAGCTACGTTTTCCTGCAGTTTAATGGGCAATCTCGGGTCCATATCTAGTACCTGTTGTTGCTTCACTGCTTGCGACGACTTACCAGAGGTAACCATGAAATGTCGTAACACTGGATCGTAGCTCATTTTCCATTACAAAATAAGAGAAATTTGAATAACATTACACGGCACGTTCTGCGTCCATGATATTTTGTACATCGGGCCTACTTCCTGAACAGTGAGGTACTCCATATGCAGCTACACTGTACGTACGGTCGTCTTTCTTAGGGTTCCGTACGCTATGGGTTGCACTACACCAAATACGCGCCCATAGAAAACAGTGCAAAATTGGACCGAAATAGCGCCGCCTGTTGACTCTCGTGAAGAGGTTGGCCTCCGTTTTTTTCACTGGAAATTCAAGAATATGGCCAGAAGATCACTTTTCGTTTCAATTTCATAGAGGTTAGCCACGAAATTTTTTTATTCGCCTTTGAACGAAGATACCCCCCAAATAGCAATAAAACTAAGTGCTCATTTCTGAATGTAACCGCCCGCCTCTATCCAAAATAAGTCTGCAATTTCTGACGTTTTGTGAAAGAAATACCCTGAACTGGAGACTATCAGTCTTAAATTCGAGATTTATAGAACTATTTCTATGATGCCTCCTGATTATGGCCTGTCTTATTGTAAAAACCCTGTGGGATCACAAAATATTAATGAGCTTGCGCGCAGAAATACTAGCATTTGGTGGAATGCACCCTATGGCGTTTTGAAAGCTGCCCAGTCAGCCTACAAAATAAAACATCTTTTGCGCTTGCTTAAGCAAATCTTCCCCAAACAGCTAACCTATATGGAACTACTATTATCGGTTGTATTTTGTAACGTTTAACCTATATTATTATTATTTATTTTTAACAAGTTAGACTCAGGAAAATTGCCGTTTTAATTTGGCCGAATCGCCTCCTATCTTTCGAACTGCTCAGAAATCACACATTCCGAAAGTTGTATTCCCATTTCAACATGAAGCACTCTCCTAGCGATCCTGGACTGAAATTTCGACCGAATGTCCCTCAATTTGCGACAGATTCTTACACATTAAAAAAATTCTCCTTTTTGAGCAATTTCCAAATATTAGTTTCGTGAAATCCTTGTGGAGACCTATTCACCTTTAGAAATTCCTTGTGGAGACCTATTCACCTTTAGAAATTCCGTCTAGAGACCTATTGAACCCATTCTTCTGGGTCTGCACAAGTCTCCACGAGGCACCATATTTCGGCACAGCCGCGATGTTGCCTCCGGGGCAACTGGATGGTGCGAATATTATACGATAAAGATACAACGCTTTTTCCTTTAAAGTTACTATATTTGTATTTTTCTTAAGATTGAATAGTTGTCCCTTTTCGTACTTTGACAATAACTGTGTTAAATAAAATCTATGATGTTGTTTCTGCTACTCACTGCATTGATTTTTACTCTCTTAAAAGTATTTAATTAAATGCTACAGTCCAAGCTCCATGAGGAGGCAAGATTTTCGAATGGCGGTGAACAGCTACGCTGCATGCTAGAGATTTTTTTTCGTGACAAAAACCTCCATTTTGCTAATTGATTTGTGATCTCCAACTACTTGAAAGTCTCTTTCAGCCCAAGTATTACACTTCAATACCTCTTTTGCGGATTAAAGTTGTATTTTCGGGAAGTTGATGCTGCATGTGTTCACGTTACTTTCGTGTGTTGACGGTAATTAGTGAGAACCCTTTTTAATGCTTAACTTTAAGCCTATATAGGCCAAGTAAGAAATTTATGACAGTCTATCTAGCCTATCAGGCTTTGTATATGACACTTAGCCATCATCTAGGCCATCATCCCATGAGAAAAAGGTTGTGTCGACCAGAAATGCACAACATCATACAGCATAGTAAAAGGCCGAAAGCGCCGCCATTGTTCTGCCGCGCACTTTGTGCACAATGTCCTATCAAGTCTATGGTTGTGAGGTTACGAGACTAATAAAGTTTCTGTTTTCCATGCATTTGGGTAGGGTGGCTGATCTCCGCCAGGAATACACTTTTTATTTTAAGGCGTTATAACGCCCTAATATGGCGTTATAACGCCCTATTACGACGTAATAAGGGTGCAGTGTCACAATTCAACTTCAAGGGAAATTTTCCGCCAGGAGGAGACGCACAAAAAGAACCCCCACAGTCTTTTGAAAAGGGTCTGTTTGGGCCATGAAATGGTGGGATTGTGTCAGCATGGCCCAGGATCATCTCTGTAGATTCAGGGGCACCCATCTGGGCGCAAAGCAGAAAAAATGTGATTGAATATATGTGAGAAGAGCCCGACGAAGGTAAGGGATGTCATTTAAAAAATGGCCGCTGAGAAGACTTGGGAACATTCACTTTTTTTGGAGGTGAGTTTGTTTTGGGCGGATAATTAAAAAATTCATTGGTTAACCTACTAAAAATTGAAAATCAAATGAAATCTGAAGGACCAAACAACACATTGTATTTGTTTGAGGGGCCTCAGGGACTTCAGTTGCCTGCCATGGGGCTCCAAACTCGGTTGAGTTTACACTATTTTCAATGGAGTTTGAATTGGTTCAGGGCACCCATAAGGCTCTACGGCGTCCACGCACACGTGGCTCCGCTTACTGTGTCCAGCTGTGTCATATGCTATGGCCATCCTTGGACGGTTCGAATCTTGCAAAGTATGTGATAAAAGCCCCTTTGTCTGCAGGAAGCAGAGCGTTATTACGCCTGAAATTAGGGCGTTATAACACCGTAAAATAAAAAAGTGTATTCCTGGCGGAGATCAGCAACCGTATTTGGGGGATTTATTTATTGCAAAATGGTCGAGCAGATAAGTGATTAGTGTGGTTCCCTGACCACAGATTTCCCTGACGTCTCTATACATAATCTTAGCGGGAGTAGTCGGAATTATGGGGACTGGTATCCAAAGCAACATAAACGTTCGTATTCGCGAATACGCTGCGCGTCTTTTACAAGACGGCCACAGAGATGTGTATGGATCGTGACGTCGGGGGGCCGGGGGTGAGAGGTAAGGATGGTGGGAAGAGCGTAATTTTTTTGCCAATAATTATAGGTCAAACGCTACAAAATACTAGAGGAAGTTTTCCTTCATTCTCTATTCAATAGGTCCTATGGGGTTCCTTGCTCCATGCTCTTTGAAGAGGAGCCCCGTAGTTCCGGGTTATCCAGCATTAGCCATAGCTATAGGCCCAAATGACATACGTACTCAGGCTGCAGAAACTTTATGTCATACACGTTAAAAAGCCTGGGGTATGTTAGCTCCGCTAGTGTGGCACAGACTCTCACTCCCGATCCATCCTTTGCCACACATCCGTATACGCAATTTCGTGTCGGCGTATAGAACATTTCGGCGCATCCACTTATCATCGTGGGCGCAATTTCTTTTGCACACACACATGATTCTTGACCTTTCCGCTGTCTAAAAACTATTTATTGAATGATTTCACTCACATTATTTACGTATTTTCCAGTCTTTTTGCCTTTATCCATTCAATCTAATGGGCTCACTCTCACAGTCGCCATCTTTAAAATAAGGTCGTTGAGCATTACATCACTTGACCCCTCATCGTCTCGACAGCTGTTCAATGTCAAGATACCTAAACTGCTGACAAAGTTTTGGAAGAGCTCATTGGTACATGTACATGTATCTTATCGCTCAGTCCGTGTATTACATATGTCTTGACATGGAACAGCCTCAAGACGATGAGGGGTCATTGAATGGATAAAGGCAAATAGACTGGAAAATACCTAAATAATGTGAGTGAAATCATTCAATAAATAGTTTTTAGACAGCGGAAAGGTCAAGAATCATGTTTGTGTGCAAAAGAAATTGCGCCCACGATGATAAGTGGGTGCGCCGAAATGTTCTATACGCCGACACGAAATTGCGTATACGGATGTGTGGCTAAGGATAGATCGGGAGTGAGAGTCCATGCCACACTAGTGGGGCTAAGGCTATATTACACCTCAGTCCGGGAAATACGCGAATTAAGAAATGTTTCCTAATTCGGAAACATGTTACCGAATTAAGAAACCTCCAGTGTTTGAAGGTGAATGTGCCGTGTCTAAAAAGGGGAATGGGAATTGCAACCCAGTGGCACACCCAGTATTTGTCGTTGACGAGGGCGACCAAACTCAGAGGGGGGAATAGAATTTCAAATTAAGATGATTTTCCCAGTGCAATTAATTTATCTTACAGACGTTCAATTACTGAAACTACATGTAGGGTAAAATTGTGGAATTAAAATGGAATTATGGCATGAGAGTTGAATTGTAACAGCGTGTAAAATAAATCCTTGATGAAATAAAGCATTTTATTAAAAGAAGTTGTGTGAAAGACAAATTGTAATATCAATATTGAAGTGCTTTATTTCCGGTAATTTTACTTGTATCAGTTTTTACAGAGCAAGAATTACAGCCTACCACTGTAAACTTATTGTTACTAATTTTTTAAAATAAAAATCACACTTAAAACAAAAATTATGTTAAATGTTTAGACAGAAAAAATGAGGCGCGTCTTTAATTATACTTCTTATTTGCAATTTCGACAGTTATTACAGCTATTTTTTCCCCACAAAAATATACAATAAAGTGATTGCACTGTAATCTGTGATTCCAAGCGGTCAAAAAGTTTGATGCTGTCGTCATATTAAAACCAGGATTAAAATACCAGATGATCTGCTAAATTTGATGACACAATTCCAATCACTTTTGCTTTTATTCTCTCCACCATTAATTCAAATAATTTTCTGAAGCTTTGTCTAGTTAAACAGTTAACCCCTTCATGGCAGGATTATTTTGACAACGACTGCTGGGCTGTGGTATGCCCTGAATGGAGGGCTTTGTCCAGCAGCAGGCCCCATTGAACCAGCAGCTGCATGGTGAATAGACTGTGTGTGGTATATACTAATCCTCACATAATGGTGTGGTAGTAGCTGTCCTCCGTAGCGAAAGGGTTAACTTCTACCTTTTCGCCTATGAAGTGACTTCTCAAGCAGTTAAAATGTTGCCCCAAACCAGGTTTTATTCGAATTGAAATGTTCCTAAAATGTGACGTAAAAAACAAATTTGTTTGATGCAAAACACGTCTCTGAATGAATGAAATGAAAATATTTTTACACAGCATTGAACAGCACTGGTACAGACTACAGAAGTGATCAGGTTCTTAACAAAAATGAAATCGAAGAATTTACGAACAGGCTAAATGGAATACTGAACTTTGGTGACAAATCTTTTGGGGGACATGGCCAATGGTGCTGCCTACCACATCTTTCACAGTTTGAAGTCTTGGTGGACCTTGTATTGGGTGGTCCAGATTCGCTCGTCTATTTCTTGGAGGGGATGAGCCGTGTATGGTGACCAGACAGCCCCAGTCATCTTACTGGCTGGACTTGTGGCTTTATTTAATTGCAAACCTGTGTCCTTTGAGGGGCATGTTCTAAGTAAAGGAAAGAAAAATGGGGAGTGGGCAGCAATGGTTATGGAATTTTTTATTTGGTTGAAGTGGTCAATATCTGGAAGTAAAACTTCTTACATGCTGGATGGAGCAACAACTGTAAGTGGTAGCATTTCTTCCTTAAAAAAGTTCTCAGCAACTCTTCATCGGAACCGAATGTTTGTTTTTCATCAGGAGACGTTGACATCTTTACTGATTCCCTCCTGCAAAGTGGCGATGGCCAGAGGCCTCCCTTCCATGATGACGGTGTCAAAACGCCAAGCAATACAATGCAGTGTTTCCTTACTTTTAAGTCCCATGCGCCAACTGGGCAGAATAATTGATTATGCAATTAAAAACAATAACACAACAAAACTATTGTAACTTGTCTTAACATTTACATTTCCTTTTTATAACAGATTATATATTTTTATTCAATTATAACCATCTTTAAAATTTACATTGTTGCTAAATTATTTATTTTTAAAATAACGGCTCCGAACGAGGCTAATATCAAGCTTCAAAATGGAGTCAAACTTCAAATTCTCAGTTTTCCGGTACTCGACTTCTGATCCGTCTCGGGCTTCAACTGTTTTTTACCACTCGATTTGAAGTTGTAAGCGCAATAGTAAGTCTGATAGTGCCACAAAAATCAAGTAAGTTGCAAAAGAGCCAAACATTGCAGTACTTCAATTTAATTTAAAAACTTCAGGTCCGCAATCGGGGATTGGTTTTCTAGACGAAGCATGAGACGAAGTTGAGTATTGGAAAATGGGCTAAATTTTTGTTTTCTAGCCAGGCATGCATGATTGAAAGTTATTGACTTTTTAAAGAAAATGCAAAGATAACCTTTTGATTTGCACAAACAGAAATTTAAGCAAGTATTAAACTGAAAATCACATTTCAGCAATTTCTATTTGGCGCCAATGTGTGAAATTTTGTGGCTGCGAGTTTGAATTTCGTGTTTCTGAATTAGGAAACCTTATCGTGACTATAGGAAACAGGGTTTCCTGATTGGGAAACATTTTCTAATTCGCGCATTTCCTGGACAGACCTGTGTTCTTATTCCTCCATGGTTAAACTTTGCCGTGTGATGTTAGCCCAGGACTGGGGGCCAGTCTACTGGACTCCCTCCTTATCCTAGGCCCTACAGTGGTCCATTCAAAAAGTGGGGACTCAGCGAAAATTCAGTAGATTTATTTCTTGTGTAATAATATTAAACATGTTATTCGGGCCACATCACACGTACTTTGTGCCTGTGGACATTCCTTGGTTTTCGTGTTAAGAAAACTCAGCAAAGCTACATGTATATTAAGCTTGATATTTGTTAATTGTTTCCTAAATTTTCTTTTTTAACTGATAAGGTACCAGCATAAATAATGCCAGTGAATGGATGATTATTACATGAAAATGTTTTTGCATTGCATACAATGCATTGAAAATGGAAACTTTTTTCATTTGAACAGGATAAATGTTCTTCCAACTCATGATGAAGCTAGGAACCATTTGCTTGGTATCTGCCAGTTTCCAATTGATAATGTTGGCAGAGTTTGTATCCACTGTGAAATACAGTTTCCTTGTTGAAACTGACAAAGCAGTAGCAGAACTGAACAACTTCTGGGCGAGTACTGGTTTCTGGTAGGTTCTATACATTTACATTAGGCAAAACAAAAAAAACATGCAGTAACTCGAGTAGACTCATTGGTTGACGCAGTTCGGTCACATCATTGTGACTGGCCAACTACATCTGGATTTCTGTATGGGGTTAATGTGTCGTAGTTGCGAATATTTCTGATGCTTTTTGTGCAAGTTTCTATTCCTTTTCGTCGTATGAAACTATGTAACTCCCATTTTGGGTTAATGGTATTGAAAACACTAGCCCTACACACAGACGTGTAAACGGCTCTCTTGAAGACAGAGTTCAAAAGAGGAGGTGATCTTTGGTACACGTGCTGTTGTAATTATTGTTGCCACTAACAATTTGGTTGACAATGGTGAGCAAGCCTACTACCTTGGAATACAGCATGGGAAGATGCCTGCCAGTGGCTTCAATGACCTGTGGGCTGATTAACAGCATCAAGTCCATATTTTTTTTATGTGACTTCTGTGATTAAAAGATGCACTTTTTCAAACATTTAAAATGAAATCATAGTTTTCTGAACAGTCGAAGGGCAGTTGCTGTAATGGCAGGTTAGAAAAAGTTGTTCATTTTATAGATTTTGCTAATAAAATTCTGAGCCTATTTCTGGCAAGACGGCTTCAGTTGCTTATTGGTTTATTGCCATGAAGTTCCCAGAATGATATTCATGACATTACAGTTTCATTTATGAACATGGAAATGCTTATTTAGCATGAAAACTTTTAAAAAGGACCCCAAATTATACTTTAAGACAGCAAAACAAGAGTTTGGAAAATAAGATTGAGATACATTCATGAGCATCTTCAACTTCAAGGGTTATATGAAGAAAAATACATTGCGTAGACCCTTTTATGGGGTTTTACATGAGAGTGAGCTCCCCAGATTTTTGTTCTGACACAAGTGAATGTTTGCCTTCCACTGAATACAGGTACATGTATAGATCTCTTCTTGGTCATTTGGGTTGAGTTTGGCCGATAATTCCAGCTGGGGCGCAAGTCCTTTCCATTTTCCAAAGTGACCAACAGGACCCCATTCTACAAGATAACTGTGTATCTGCAGTCAACTGATTTTGATATGTTCCGCAAATAAAAGTCTACGTGATAATGGCTTCATCTTTCTGCTATTTAATGCTGTCAGTTTATCAGATACAACCATTTTAAAGAAGTTTCATTTTTGAGGATAATTTTTTTGTCTTTTTCTAGGTGCATTAGACTCCCACAAGTTTGTACATAGGAAGTGATACAATGTTCCCCCAAATTCATCAGGTGACAAACAGTGCTGACACTACACCTGCATAAGACTCACATGAAAACCCACTAGAGTTTTGCATTGTGTGCTACGTACATGTATGTACAAATGACTACATACATACACTATGCTGCCCCAAAGGGAGAAAAGACCCATGCCTTCTCATGTTTATATACAGATACATGTACAATGGACATACAAGAATAGTCAGCAGTTACAGACGATTGTATGGATTTTTTTCTTCACAAGAGCATACTGGTATGTGTACATATGGTGAATGTTTAGATTTATGAAGTGAACAATGCACTAAAATGAATATTTTTTGTTTTCTGCCCTTTTCCCTTATGTTTTCAGCCCTCCTCTTCCACATCAGAAGTCATTTGAATATTTCCTAAGTGAATCTGAACTACAGAATCTGATTCTAATTGGTTCTGTGCCACATGGAGGCATTCAGCAAGTGCGTATACACTGGCTGCTAGATCTCATCACACTCAGGTATTATTCTGGAAGTTAGTATGTAATGAGAATCCCCAAATTCGAAGATCTGTACATTTAGTACAGTTTTTCCAACTAGTTTGAAAAGTTTTTTATTCAATTTCACCTACACATATATATTTCGTGTGCTATTGAAACAAAACCAGTTTGAGGCAGTTTACCATTCTATTTCAAAGTTTGGCCAACAAATTTGAACACCCTGTTGGGAAAATTTGTCATAACAAATCCAAGTTGTCAAAGCTGTTGCTGGATGGCAGTATTAACAGATCAAATTCATCTTGTATCAGTCACTTCTGTACTTTTTAAAGTAAGCAAAGGTGAAACAAGGGCAAAAATATTAATAAGACCCCAAAACAATTTTTCTTCGTTAAAAAAGATGAAAAAGAGGGTAAAATAAAGACATTAAAGCACCCCAAAATTTTACATAACTCTTATTTCTCTTTCCTCCCGTTCCTTTCGTTTTCTCCCATAATGAGTTTAGCATGTTTTTAAAGAAAATTCATTCAGAAGAAACAAACAGGACATTCCTCACAAGGAAAGAGGAGAGAAACGGGAAAATCATCTGTATCTGGAATCTTTCTTCTAAAGATGTCACATTGAAAGTTTATGAAATTAAACAAACTTTTATTTTTTATGGTGTTGTAAAAGACAAGTTTGTTTTCTGAATGATACATTTCAGCATAGATGAGTCCAAACTGAATGGTCCTCTCTGAAAATTTGTGCTCATGGGTTGGAATTGATTGAACAACACTTGAAATTGTATGACAAAAAGAAACAAGTGCACAAAATCTATTCTGTTGGACAAATTAGAAAGATACAAACATGTGAAATTGAATGTAAAATGTTAAAAATATCTGGGAAAACCTGCAAATCTGTGCAGTGCATGAAAGCACAGTGGTACAGCAAACTACTTTAACACTTCTTGAGTAATAAATGGTTCAAGCGTGCTCAAGAAATGTCTGCATATACATTTAGATGTGCCTCCAAACTATTGACAAATGGGTCTTTTCAAAAATTTGGGCAGGTGTGCTGTTTGCTTCAAAGTTGAAATCATTTTACTTCACTCTTTTGCACAAATTGTTATCAAAAGTCTTCCTTTGAAATTTATATTGACATTCTTAACACAGGTGGTAGATAGTTTTGAGAGATTTGTCAGTGTGTGTTGGTGAGTGAATGGCTTGCTAGACTTACTGCTGTGTGAGATCCTTCTTGGCATCTGTTGACCAAAACCAGTCAACTTATATGGCAACATGTTTTGAATCATGAAATGGGTGCATATATTGTCACCCCGGCTGCCAATCCAGTTTGTGGATTTGAGACCAGCCAGTGGGGATTTTGCACAAGTTTGGAAAAGACCTATGGGACTGATGTGCAGGGGTAATAGTAATAAGTGCATTTGGACCTCCAATACGAGCTATTCACAATAATATAGCATGCCACTAGGAATTTGCTGCAGACAGGCCACTTTTCAAGTTTATGGTCGACACACTGCCATGATTTAGTGCACTTCATATGTCATTTGGGGATATTTGATTGATTGAGGCATTCCCTGTACCACACAGTAACCATCGTTTTGACTTTCTAATGCCCATTCATAATAAGCAAGTTCGAATATTTAACCAAGATAAACAAACATCGGGAAAAAGTTAAAGTTTTCCGTGCACAGCGCAGTTAGTGAATGAGACTTTGTTGACTACATGTATTAATCCCGCAATACACTACGAAGAGGCCTCTCCATGACAACCTTGTGGTGGTGCACTGCATTGTAAATCACCTGTATGTATTGTTATAGCCCATTACACAACGAGTGGTAAAAGATATGGCCATGAACTGCAGTGTTTAGAAACCTTAGAGATTTGATGATATGGTACATGTATGTCTTGACTAATCAATTGTCTTACTGAGTAGTCTTCACTGACTGACTGACATGCTTAAATGCTTCCTCATGTCTTCCATTGCTCCTGTTGGATGCTGTTGTTATTGTGGAGAGCCAGTAATTAGCGTACTGAGCAGGTTTCTGTGTGTAAGTAAATGCAGACATCATGCCACGTACCATTTTCTGTCACTGCATTCAGTTATTTACTTTTGACCATAGTGGTATGTGTTTCTAAACAGTGTCAATAGTTTGACTGGACAGATCAGCCTGAACTTTGACCTGTTAGATCAGCTGGTAGACCGACTGTGGAGCAATGGACTACGGCCGGGCTTTGAGCTTATGGGGAACCCATCCAACTGGTTCACTGACTTTGAAGACACTGATCAGGTCTATGTGTGGAGAGATATGGTCACAGCATTAGCCAAGAGATACATAGGTATACCATAGTTCACACTTGACTGACAAGTATACCCCTTTAATTGTAGGAATTCCAAATGGTTTTTAAATTTGATACTGTGTTAAGTATTGAAACTGCTTCATACTAAGCATGCATGGCAGTGGTATAGAGTCATTTGTTTTTGAATGTTGCAGTATAAGTAATTTATAGCATTCATCAATTAACAGACTAGACAGAAGCAGGTGTATATAATACCCTTTCCTTACCGAGCACTCTGTTCTGTTCAAGCTGTCATACTGTGGCCACACAGAAAAAGGTATTATTGTTATTTGGGGGCTCGATGCTGATGTTGGAGGGGTCAAAGACTCCCAAAGATCTGAAAAGCTACCCATAGCAGAGATGTAAGTCACATAATAACCACATAACCCTTACTGTGATGCATCATCAGAGATGTGAATAAAACAGGGTTTGAATTTGTGTGATTTGACATTCATATTTCTCATTCTTTTAGATAAATATGGTTTGGATTATGTGGCAAAGTGGAACTTTGAGTCCTGGAATGAACCAGACCACAAAGATTTTGATAATCTTAACTTCACGGTCCAAGGTAAGAATACATGGAAGAGTGGATGGATGTTCTCTGGGCATGTTCCAGTCACGATGTCCGTACCGAAGTTCTGTGCACCCTGGGTTTACGCTCATGGCTACTGAAACCAATCCACTAACGAGCACATAACATCCCAAGCCAGAAATGAAATAACAGATGCTAAACAATGAACACTTCTTGCGCAGCAGCAGAGTAAAGAGAAAGTACTGTGCATGTAGCAGACTTGGCACACTTAGTCTTCTAGCTTTGTACAAATACACATGGTTCAAAACATAGTTGAAACACAAAATGTACTTGTTAGAAGAATGTATTCACCCCTTGAGCACCCTTCCCAGTTTTGTATGATTTTTTTATTCACATAATGATGCATTTATTGTGGTCCATGTGGTGTTCCTGTTGCAAATTCAGTTAGGTACAAAGTGGCCGCAAGGCAGATTTTTTGGCGGGCATTTTCAATTTTTGGTTGGTTTCTGTTTTAATTAAATTTATTTACAACTTACATGTACCTATTAAAAAAACTAGGCTCGGGGGGAAGGGCCTTTTTTCAACTACTTGTGCAAGTAATATCATTGTATTTTGGGACAAGATGAATGTACTGGTGTTTTTCAACAGTTTAAGGTTTAGGGGAATCTCAGCACTAAACAAGCTAGGACAAGGTACATTGTCACATTGGCAGTTACTATTGCTCTGATGTATAGTTAAAGCTGGCAGGAACCATCCACTTTTTATTACAGGTTTTGAATGGAGTTTTAAATTTGTAGTAAAACAGTTACAAATTTGAAGATCTGTTTTTGTACACCTGGATTTGACTTTTGTCATCATTATGGTATAAGCATAAGTATTGTGTGCGTGGTGGTTTGCAAGAGCTTGAAGGAAACTCAAATCTTATACTGGATTGGAACCATAAACATTGACCCCACAAGACTTGAAGGCATCAAGCTATGGTATGTTCTTCATAAAATGGACCAAAATGGAACTCATGTCATTTTTCAAAACTTCTAAATGAGTGACTTTGATCATGTAAAATACAAATTAGCACCTTCAGATTTATAAAAATGATTATTTGAGGATAATTAGGCATACTGTGTACATCTGTTGGGCATTTGGTTGGCTACCAGTGCAAATCAAATGGAAACTCTGTAATTTTTTTGCTGAAAATGTGCTTTTAGATAGACTGTACTGCCTCATGATGCCAAACCTCTGCTCCAGTTTCGTGCCTTTCATTGATGGTCAGCTACATTTATTTAGGTGATCACTGAGGTGTAATATTTAAGCATTAAGGAGAAAATGGGCAAAATTCATGGAACTAAGCGAAAGGGACATCATTGCACGCCGGCCATGCCAGCATCCGTGTTTGTATGGGGATACCATGGCTACTTGATACAGACAGTCAGCAAAGTTGATTGGCAGGCTGGTTTGCATTTGTCTGCATTGTTGGAGACACCTCCATTTGACATTTTTCTGTGTGTCCGTGTTGCAGTTTGCATCTTGATTGCATTGCTCTCTGCATTTCTTACGTCAATATGGAAACCAGGCTTAATACAAAAGACATCAAGGGCTCAAGTTCCAAGCAACAAAGCTTGTGATATGTAATCTTCCACCAAAAAATCACTGAACTTGTTGAACACATGTACTTAGAATTCAAAGAACAGATGGATGTGTTCCTTAGTTAAGGAGTATAATTGGCCAGAGAAGTGGTTGCTTTGTAATCAGTTATTCCAAGGAGTTTTATTGATTCCTTGACTGGGCCTTAACTGAATAATGATGTTGGTGGTGACCATTTCAACACGAATCATTCAATTTTTTTCCAGGATTTTTGAACTATTACGATGCCTGCTCTGAAGGCCTGAGAGTGGCAAGTCCCAAACTCCGTCTTGGTGGGCCAGCTGGTGCCTGTCGTGAGCCATCATTTTCAGTTATATGCTGGGCATTGTTGCAACACTGTGAGAATGGTACTAATTATTTCACCGGAGAGACCGGAGTGCGCATTGACTTTATCTCCTTCCATCATAAGGTATGAATCCGTTGAAATTCTTCTGTTTTGTTGAAGTGTGCATTTTGGGTGCAGGGTTGAAGGTAATTGGTGGGAAATGTGTGCAGATTAAGTTGGAATATTATCAAAAACAAAATGAGCCATAAGAAGGACAATGGAAGGTTTTCCATATGCACACCATGGACAAACCTGTGTGTTCTACCTTAGAATGTTGTGTTATTGTTTAGTAGATTATATTTAATGTGAACTCGGGTTGTCATTGTGCTTGTGTCTTTGAGCATTTAATACCCTTAGCACTAATTGCTTTTCAGCAAGCAGGTATGGTGTCTTGTCCCTCAAGGTTCACAACCAGTCCGTGCTGGGCATCCCTCAAGAAGGTTTCATTTGGGACACTGTTCAAAACTGGAATATTGGAAATATACCAGTGTTACCGTGAAATTTCCAACTGCATGGACAATGCCAATGGATATGAATTTACTTTTAAAAGGAACATTTTGAAAGGAAGTGTTAAATCGTGTTTCTCAGTAGAATTCTGGCTTTTGGAGTGATATTTGTAATCTGCAATCAAATCACCTCCCCATTTCTCCTCCTCTGCTTTTAAAGTAAGTTTTATTTCACTGCAATGCTGCTGAGAAAACAAAAGACCCAAGACTGGTATTCTTTTAGGTTTTTAGGTTTTAGAATATTTTTATCCAAGTTAAAAAGATCTCCATTTTGTCCCCAGGGCAAAGGTCATTCGATGTACATACTAGACACAGAGATCCAAACCATTCAGCGTATACAGAGACTCTACCCATGCTTGGCCAGTGTTCCAATATTCAATGAGTGAGTACACAAACAGTCATCTTTCATTGCTAAGGGGAGTTATGCGTGTGTAGTGGTTCTTTCTCATGTGTTACCCATACCAATATTGGGTACTTCTGTGACTGGTTTTATTAGAATAAGTTTTATGTGGTTCTGTAACAGTCAGGTACATGTACTCGTTACACTGTGATTTCTTTAAAGAGCCTGGATCATTTTCCTGATTCTCCATATTACATCATCACTCCACACTCTCATGTTTCTTCGCACAACAGTTACAAACGTCATGAATTAAAACTGTCACTTTAAAGTTGTGTGTGGGAATTCGTGAAGGTTTGGGGTAACAAAAAGTCAGATTTTTCTGTCAGGTATCACTCATCTGGCTACTTATCACAATGTTACTTGTGTGTGCTTATGCAAATTTGAGTTGGTGACTTGGACCTAAGAGGACTTTTTCTCTTTAATTATTGACTTTACTCAAGTCACAGGCCAAAATGACTTGACTGGCACTGATGTTGCTTTTGAAAATGATTTGACTTGACTCACTTTTGACAGTTTTCAACTTGAGTCCGACAGATAAAGGAAATAAATTTTTAAAAAAGCCCGTAGTTTTTCTCAGTTTAGGGATGAATTTTGCAACCATCTCAGTCATCTTCTGCATAAGTTTTGAATCCTTGCACAGTTATAGTCAAACGTGGGATGCAAGTTCAATGCCCACAGTGGATCCTGATGGTTGTGTAGTTGAGGTGGTTATGTTTAGTTTATGACTGATTCATTACTCAGTGGATTATATTGGCCAGTCTTAGTATGGTACTCAAAAACCGACTTGAGTTGACTTGTTTTGATGCCAGTATTGAATGACTTGCCTTTGAGACTCAAGCGGTTGGCAACTCATTACACCACTGCATTTTTCCCTGGAATGGTCATGTTGGGTTTTCTCTAACATCTCAAATTAATTTTTGGTTGTTTTTTCTGCTGGCTTGTGTTAGGTTGCTACTTTGTGTAAGATGATAAAATAAAACCTTATTACTGTGATTTTAAATCAATGTAATTGGCAGTGTAAGTAGTAACAAGGATATGATTGGTTTCCATTGCTTTTAATTTCAAGTGAGGCTGATCCTTTGGTTGGGTGGAGTAAGCCAGAGGAATGGAGAGCTGATGCAACATATGCTGCAGTAGTTGTCAAGGTACCAGTGTGTTATGGCCTTGGAGTGAGATTATTCAGATCGTTAAAGATATGGTTACACATTTGCTTACAAAATAGCAGGTGCATTACATGAAAATGGCATGGTCCAGTTTAATGCTATTTTGCTGTTTTGTTGTCTGTGCCTGTCCAATTCACATGTATGCACACAATGTCCCTTTCCCTCAATCTCAGCCTTAGACTAAATCACCTAAACTTAGGGATTTTATGATTTATACTACCGGTACATTGCCTTTTTAATTTGAAAATGGTTGTGATTCATTTTCGAAATGATCACCTAATAAACACTGAACAAGTTTTCTGCCACTTCACCTTTTCAGGTCATTGCTCACCACCAAAATTTGCTGATAAGACAACGGCCTGACGTGAACTACGCACTGCTTAGCAATGACAATGGTTTCTTAGACTTCAACCCACACTTCTTCACTCAGCGGACATTGGTAGCACGGTTTCAGATGAATGAGACCCATCCACCCAGCATACAGACTGTAAGGAAACCAGTGCTGAGTGTGATGGGCCTGCTGGCCCTACTTGGAGAGACGCAGGTGCAGGTTGTTTCAGGTCAGACTTGTTTCTGTTTCCTTAAGTTCTGAGGACAAGTCATTGAGTTTGAGTGCTGATATCCTTGTAGTTTTCACAAAGTTTTCACAGGCATGTTTATTTTGACAAAGTAAGTTTTTTCACTGTTATCGCAAGAGAAATTTCTCCAATTTTTAAAAAATGCAAGAAGTACGGCTTTTCATGAGCAGCTTTTAATGAAGCAGTCCAAAGCTAAATATTCATCATATGATGCAAATCGGTCTTTTCATTTCTGGGCTACACACAAAGACCGATTACCATATATACAAGACCCAGGGTCTGCCTTCTTTCACCGTGTTCGCTTGAGTGTGGGCCGAGAATAATAGCTGAAAAGCGGGCTGAGGATCTCAATTTTTACAGCGGCTATAGCCACCTCCCAGTGCGAAGGGGTACACACAAAGACCGATTACCATATATACAAGACCCAGGGTCTGCCTTCTTTCACCGTGTTCGCTTGAGTGTGGGCCGAGAATAATAGCTGAAAAGCGGGCTGAGGATCTCAATTTTTACAGCGGCTATAGCCACCTCCCAGTGCGAAGGGGTCAAGTTTGAATTGGAGTTGATTGATTCAAGCATGTTTGGGGGATTGTTTTCTGATATGGCATATTTTGGTCAAATAGATACTGGCAAAGGTGGAAACAACAGTGATGTAGGAATCTTAGCATCAGTGCACCATGCATCAGCAGCCAGTGGATCGCATGACAGGTGAATATATCGGAATACAATCAAGAAATACCCTTCCAATCGACACACACAGCTTTTCCAAGGGTAAATGAACATGGCCTTAGATATCAGTTGGTTATGAAAATACTTCATAAATGGTATAGACTGGTTTATACTGTAAATGGCATCATACATGGTGTGACACATTTACTCAGCTCGGATTCATAAAACCTTAGTTTTGCCCAACAGCAATGTTTGCCATCAGTCAAATCAATCAAAACTACATTTCTCATTCAAGCTTAGAGCATCCATTTCTGCAAGCATATGCTACTGTTCTTTTCCATTAGCAGATACTGGTAATTAAAATTTCTTGCTTTGCAACATATGAAACTGTAATGGAAGATGATGAAACAGCATTGGATCATATTTGTCACTTCAATACACCCAGTCTTTAGTAATGAGCTTTGGCATAACATCTTTTATGACGTTGATTATTTATCATTTCTCTGTAGTCACAAGATAAATAACTGTCATTCTTTTGAATGAGAATTCAAGCTGGAGGTTCATTCTTTGTATTGAGCCATTTGGAAGTAATCGCCAGTGATCAGGGAAACATGTAATTCATGCTTACATATTAATTTTGTGTTGCATCTCTTCATTTAAAAGATTACTTGCTATAAGCCCAAGATTCTGATTTTCAGCAGTTTTATTTGACCACCTTTTATTTCTCAAAGTTTAACTCATCCCTCCTTATATTTGGCACACACTGGGTGTAATCCATGATAAAAGAATTGAATCCCACTGTCAATGCTTCTTGTTCTACAAAAATGAAATGTCAAATGTTGTTTGATTCAGTTGGCAGGGGAGCATTATCATCTACAACAGCAATGACACCAGCAATCTAACAGGCACAGACAACATCACACTCACTGTGACAGGAGTACCAACAACTAATCAATTAAGTAAGTAATCTCTGCATTTGTTTTGAAAAGTTTGTTCCCATCAGCTCAATCATAAAGTTGTTGAATAAGTCCATGTGTGCACAAACCAGTACCAGTCAGAAAAAGCTTGATGTTCGTTGTCATTGTCGAGACCTAGAAGTTCAAGACTGAGACCTGATGGTCCAAGACCGAGACCTCGAGACCTTGTATGCAAAATATGCAATAAAAGAATTGAAAAAGAATTACAAATACATGTATCATGTGCAGCAAAGGGAAATACAACTTTTTATTGACATCAAAACAGCTTCCTTGTAGACCTAAAACATTACTAAAGTTAATTAATAATGACTTAATCCTTGCTATGTTTATTATTTTCTCAAGGCAACTCTGCTCTGTTGTATCCAACAAAATCCAGCACCATTGAGGTGTGAAGCCAGTTAAAGTTGGAGGGTCTCAGCAACCTGGATAAAACAGCTGACTATGCTCTTGAGGACAAAAAATAGAATGAATTAGACAAAAATTAGAACTTAGAATGACTCAAACTATACTCAAATACATGTACATGTCAAGTTGTTCTGCTCAGGTGCCTCGTAAACGCTGAACTTGTTCCAGATCTCTCTGAAATCCGATTCGTTCCAGGACAGAATTTACACACTGCAGAATGTTTTTTGTTGCCAGCTTTGCTGTCCATGCACTCCTTGTGGTCTTTAAAACTAAAGCGTATAACGGCAGATTTATATGACATGTCCGATTACTTGTCAGGTTGTGTGGTGATGTCGATAACAGCACAGAGGCAGAATGTTATCACAATGGCACAATAAACATCGGAGCAACACACATGAAGGAAAAGCATCAAGAAGAAATGGCGTCCGTATACGAAGCGCACATAATTATGCCGCTGATCACTGCCTCATTATACAGCGCGTAGTTCATGCATTTTTCTATCTCGTTCCTAGACATGAAATCAGTGTGCAGGTTTACATGTTAAGTATTTGCATGCGGCACGGACAGAAAAAAAAGAGGTTGTATCATATACTGTATGTTTTGATAACAGCATTACTACTTTACAGTGTACACACGATCTCGAGTCAAGTGTAATTGATTCTACACAATGAGTGCAAGTTCACGTTTGTATACAATATTGGTGGTCTCGATACTGAGACCAGCAAAAGACAGAGACCACGAGGTAACCAGACCGAGACCAGGAAGCAACAGTCTTGAGACCAGGACTGATCTCGAGATTTACAACACTTATATGTTCCAAATTTAACCAATTAAAAACTTGGACAGGAGGTTGGTGAAGATCTGTTTCCATGCTGAAGTCTGAATTTCTTTGAACTATAAAACCCAGCCTAGTCTGGTGCAGAGGTTGATATACAGGCCTGTCTTGTTTATTCCCATGATTTAATCGGACAAATAAAATCTCTATCAACCTCCATATTGGTCATTCTATAAATCTGGGGTCTGACGTGACATTTGCCTGTCCCTGTAGAAGCTGACCTGTGTAATTTGTCAAGGGGTGTATCACTGAAATTGACTTCAAACAGTTTTTTATTTGTTTGGCCAGTAATTTGCATTGTTTAATCACTCTTGAACATTATAGAATGTATTCTGAACTTACAAAATCATACGTCAGATGTAACAGAGACAGGAAAATATTCTACACCCAAATTATAGAATGACCTACTGAACTATTTTAAATTGTACAAAGTGATGAAAACTACTGTTTGTTTTTGTCAGGTATGGTCTACATTGTCTATCTGGTAGACAACACACATGGCAACCCCTACAGACCGTGGAAGGCCTTTGGTAAACCAGTCTATCCCACCAGAAAACAATTTGTGGAAATCAGAAAACATCAGGTAAAACAAAACCAAGTAAATAAAACTCCTTTTGGTGGTTCACTGTAATTCCTATACCAACTGTAACAAGGCCACAGTGTGGAAAAACCTTCAATATGTACACATATTTTCTTGTTCAAATTTTGCCTACTATTGATATTGCATGAGAGCATAGCATACATCTCTATGTAATATCCTTTTCCTTTTTACAGCAGGCCAGCATATTTTGAAATGCCAATGCTGGAGATAGATGGTTTTCTGCATATTCAAGGTTTGGTCCTTTTTTCTACCACCATTGCTTCAGGATCCCTTGAGAATTAAAGGACCAAATCTGTTCACGGCACCCAAGATGACATTTAACTTCAACTTGAGCAAACCTGGGGTCATGCTGTTCCATTTATGTGCCAAACCCTCCGAAAAGCCACCACAGGTAAACTTTACCAGCTTTATCTATCATACTACCTGACATGCTGACAAGATTGAGATTGTGGCTGGAAATCCAAAACTGACCCATTCAAATGTAAAGATATGTTTTCTCTCAGTTGGAGTAAACCATTTTCACTGTTTACGTGCAGGTGTTTGGGACATACTGTATGAAATGCAAACTAGTTCTTGCCCATGCTGTTAATGGGTTTTACCACTATGGAGCATCTTAAACATACTGATGCACGCATTTTAGATTGCCTCATCTACATAATCGTATCTTAAAGCAGTCACATTGGCTTTTCATATGCTTCCTCAATCTGGTAATGAAAATACAAAGTTTGTTGTTAACTTTCAAGTCTATGACGGTCACATCCATTTCTTATGGATCATTGTAAGCTAGGCACACATAGAAATCGGTGGTCAACTTTATAACCACTTGCTAGCGGTGGTATTTTGGGCCCAAACTCGTGAATACGAGGGCCTTGCCATTAATTATCTTGTATTATCTAGAACCTCATCTCAAGTGAAAAGTATTTTCCCAGTCATATGTGTCATTCGTACTACTGTTGATTGGTAATGAATTTGCTTTTGAACAGAGCGAAGATGTTGTTTATGAAAGTGGAATGTAAATTTGTAATGAATAAAGAATTGTTGTAATAAAACTTATATGATAATCGAGAAGAACAAAAACAATTGATAAAATGCAACAACGAGGCAAGCGGACTCATCACCAATCATTGTCAGAGCGGTGCAACCTGCACTGTCACTGTCGATGTCACGAGAGAACACGCATTTAAGTGAATTATTATTTTAGTTGGTGACCAATTATAGAGATGCAATTTTGTACATATACAGAGTGAAGGAAAGCAAATTCTGGGGTGAATAATAGACAGGTAGAGAGTGTAGGTCGGGGCCTGGGTGATTTTTTAGAGGGAAATGAAGGTTTTTAACTCATAAATTTGACTTCCAATGAGACATTTATGTGTAAGAGAAGAAGGGATTTTAAAGACATTTGAATTTTATGCTGGCTTATAAGTTGGGTAGGGCTATTTTTGTATTCTCTTTTCTCATGTTTTTGGGAGGCAGTTTGTAACAAGTAAACTTGTCCTTTTTTGGGGGCCCTCTGGTGGCCTGAGAATCACAACACCCACTGTCCCTCGTGTTCTTTGGGACCAGACAGCATGAATGCCCCCACAAAGAAAACCCTTTAACCCTAACAGTCCCAAATCCTCCAATTTCAATACGATTTTACATACACCCCAGGGGGTTAAGGTTAATCACTGGGGATCTAGAATGCCCTAAAAGTGCAGTCTTGGGTTAGCGAGCATTATCACCGTGCCCAGTACAACAGCACCTTTATTGAATAGGTGCGTTGATTGACAAGCTGTTTTCAAAATGCTTGTATTAAACTGAGAGATGACAATACTTGACGGGAGCAGAAAAAAAATGCTTGTCTTAACCAAAATCTTTTGTCACCCAAGCTTGTATTAAAGATTTTTTTTCCTTATAAGAATGGACACATTTTGTTGGAACTGGCAAAATATGCTCATCATAAGCGGAATCTCATCCTATCCGAGTTTGTATTACCGATAGTCGACTGTATGTTAGCAATTTTCTGTTGAGTGCAAACAGCTTGTTAGTATCAACATTCAGTTAAAACAGGAGAGAGATTGTACTTTTACCCAGTGGAACAATTTTGGAGCCTATTTTGGCTCATGGAACTCCAACTACCAACTACCAATGTGTGTCCCTAGTAGGTGAGGAGGTGAAATAGTGCCTATATAAAGTCTGAATGTAGCTCTTTTCATCCAGTGTGGATGCAAAGTACATGGACTCCCTCACTCTGGTGACCGAGAGATCTGGCACACTTTGGAGGCCATTGCCACCATGTGCTCAGCAGCTATTCTAATATTGTTCCCTGTGATGAAAAAATGGCCCTCCACACTATTATTGTTGACTGTATCAAAGTTCCTGTGAGTGCTGAAACATCAGTAGAGTCCATAGGGTTGCATCCGACTGAATTGGGAACTAATGAATACATGATGGACTTAATTTTCAGGTGAAGAGCGTCAAACTCCACTCTGTTACACAGACTGACGTTCTTGTGAGCTGGGAGGATGTTTCGTCATGTTGCCTTTTAACATACCAGGTGGAATTCTCTCCAACCAAGCAAGGGCAGTATGTCCAAATCAGCGATGTTGATCTCATATTTACATCGTATCTTTACTCCATTGAGTCTGCAAATCCTTGTAAGTACTCGTAATTCACATACAGTTTATAAGAGAATACCGGGGCTGCTTTCAAATGTTTCACATCATTGATACATATCTGCAGAAGTGCAAAATTGTGTGAGCAGTGTGTTTTTTCACTTTCAAGTGTTCGTAAAATTATCTGGAATTCTTCAGTCCTTTTCCAATGGACAGTTACTAATTTCCAACTTCAGTGGCCATTCATCACAAGTACCGTGAATAGTTTTTGGATTCCAATTCATGACACTTGTATAAACTTTGTGATATTCAGGCTTGGTATCACTTCTGTTACAGAACATTTTTGCTCATTTTCTAATTAGCATTGCGATACTCCTCTACCCAAGGCTGGTACCGTGTGAGAGCAGTAGATTACTGGAATCGGTCTGGGATGTATTCAACACCAATTGAGTTGAAATGAAGCATCCATCACCAGTTGATAGCTTTCCAAGAAGTGTGAGTGTTTCACTTTGGCCTTCATACATCTGTAAAAAATGTATAAGTCTCCTATCACTGTTGCATTCCTAGATTATTTGAAGTAATCTCAACCACTTCATGCTGGATAATGTCTTAACATGTAGAAATTCCCTGTGTCAAAATGCAGAGCATGTTGAACACATTTCTGTGAATTCTGTACGTAATGCTGTCTTATGGCAATCCTCATCTTCCCACTCAACGATTCCTACACACACGGGCTCGTACAAGTCTGTGGAGATTGAGTGCATTGAGTGGTTGAAAATTGAGAATTTTCTCAACATGAAAGTGTTGCAAATTCAAAATCACCCCAGAACATAATGGTATACTCCAAATATGGTGACTGTTTCCAAGCTGCATGGTGATATGATTCTCTTAAAAAAAAAGTGTGATTTCCACATGTTAAACCTATCATGTTTCAAGATATAATTCCCTGTTTGCACACAATTGTTAGTTAACTATTAAAGAAAGGAGTTTTTAGACTTTCGGTGAAGTGTAAACTGATATGAAAGTGGTCATTAAGCATGATCGTACATGCACACAGATATACCAATTGTTTCAGTGTCACAGACACGAGTCGACTGCATACTTTATTCCAGGATGAAGTTTTTTCATGAATCCGCAATGCGACATTGTGTAAGAGGTGCATTACTCCAACGTAAATTTATTGATTACTCCTGGTCGTTGAAAACTGCTCTTTTTTAAGGAAAAGAAAACTTGTCATGCCCGTTCCCACTCTGACCCTGCAGGTGTTTACTTACTATGAATGCCCTGTACTTCATAGAGTTTATGCAAGATAAATTATAAGATTTTCGATTTAATTGTTGAAAATACCACTTTGTGTTTCTTGATTTTTCACCAAGCAGCTGACTCAAACATGAAACAAGTCAGTGGAATGTAAGCTGTAGTGAATCTTATATACAATAATCAACCAATCTTGTGAAATTATAACAAAAAACCAAATGTGTCACCTGCCTTTAATACAAGCTGGGTTGATATGAGATTTCGGTTAAGATGAGCTCTCTCTCCAGTCTGATTGAGTGCAAAAGCATTGTTTTCTATTGTTATCTAGATATCTATTTAACATGAGCATCTTGAAAACAATTCGTCTATCAACAAACCAATCAACAAGGTGCAGTTGTACTTGGTTCAGTGATAATGCTCATTAATCCAGGACTTTGGTTTTAAGGCATTGCGACTTCAGAGCAATCAAAGGATTTTCTGTATGGAGCTTTTGTGCCACCTGATCCAAACAAATAGATAGATGATGGGTGTCTGATTCCCAGGCTATCAGAGGGTCCATATAAAAGAAAAACTTGTTACAAACGCCCTACCAAAACATGAAAAAGAGAACAGAAAAATGTCCCCACCTGACTTAAAAAGTAGCATAAAATCAGTGATGTAGTTGAGTACCTTTTGAGAACCAAGTTCTCTACCAAATATTTAACTAGTTAGGAGGGAACAAAGCTGAAGTACATCAGCATTTGATGGTATATGTATAAAGGTAAGATTACAAAGCAACATAATGACTTCAGACCATCACTGTTTGATTAAAATTAACTTTTTAGGACAAAAGTACTTGGAAAGTACTCGGCTGAGTACTTTCCAAGTACTTTTCTCCTTAAAACTTAAATTTTACACAACTGGGAGTGTCTGAAGTCTAACATTTATTTTGTAATCTTACCTTTGCACATTTACCATCAAATGCCTGTGCACTCTGGCTTTATTCCCTCTTACCCAGTTCAGTATTTTGCGGAGAACGTTGGTACTCGGAAAGTACTCGAATACAACACTGCATAAAATTCATATTTGTTGAAAGCCATTTTACCCATAAATGTCTCTGGAAGTCAAATTTACAATTCCAAATCCCAAAATTTGAAACAAAAAATTCACCTTCATTCCTGCTACAAAACATACCACCTAGGCCCTGACCTACACCCTACCAAAAATTCACTTGTTTCCTTCAGTTTGTACATTTACAAATTGCAATTCTGTAGCAGGTCATCAACTAAAATGTTTAATTTACTCACATGTACATTCTCTTGCAACATCGACCATAACGGTACAGGTTAATGCTTTGACAGTGATTGGTGACGAGTTCCCTTTTCCGGTTATTGTGTTTTATTAGTTTTCTTTGTTCTCCCCAATCATCATAAAAGTTTGTTTTATCGCAATTCTTTATTCATTACATATATATGATCTACTTCAGAGAGAATATGCTTGATCTGTTTTGAAAGCAAATTCATTACTTATGGACAAGAACACGTGTGTAGGCTACATAAAACTGGTGTGATCGATTAATGACAATGGAGAATACTTTGCACTTAATACGAGGTTCTCGAAAATATGAGATAATTATATAAGAGAAAGTTCCTAGACCCTCATATTAATAACAGTTGACTGTATGCCCCCTTTAAAGGTACAGTCCATCATTTGTCATTTATGCAGTATATTCCTTTTAGGCGAGATTTCTTTTTAAGTTGGTGCTCAGATTGGCCGACCTTCAGGGTTCACAATGGGGAAATAAATAGAAGTTTTATTTTGAGAAGTCTCGGATCCACCAACCAACAATGTACATGTACCAATATAAAAAATGAACCCTCCAAAAAATTTATTTTTGCTCTGCTGTCCCCAATTTCAATTTTGTGAGCTTTGGTTCTTGGCAGCTGGTACTTCTTTTTTTTTGTTTTTTGAAAAATGTTATTTGTAATCTTTCCTCTGACTTGAAGACCCTTTTTTTTTCTTGAGACCATAGAAAATGCTTTTTTTGTCCTCTAAAATTTTTCTTTAAAAAATCTGAGCACCAACTCATAGGCAACAAATCGACCAAAAATCTAAAGAAGAGTGCCTAAGAACAAACCTGATGAAGTTTAAGTTCTGTGAATCCTGCAAGTTTTGAGAAAAACAATTTTCCAGGACTTCAATTTCATATCCAAAGTTGCTGATTCATGTTTTGAATTACACAAGAATTCATCATCTTGGACATGTTCTTTTGTCAATTTCAGCTGCACAATGTCACGCACAATGTCATGTCAACACGTCATGCCCTTCTGATGGCAATTTTTAAAAAAATGCATCTGTAGATATATTGCTGGAAATGGCCTTCTTGCATTGTTTCCTTCGAAATGATAGCTTACCAGAAAGAATAATTTCAGAGGGAGTTTAGTTGCATAACCATCTTTAGACAAAGTATATGCATGCTATTCAACAATAAGGGTGTCAATTACATTTTATAATTGCAAATGATGGACTGTACCTTTAAGCGGCTGTACACTACCACTGGGTGTTGCTGTGCTGGGTATCATTTGGCGACACATATCTGTTTTTAATTTGTCTTTTGTAGCTGTGCATATAAACTGTATTTTTAATCCTTTTCTTTTGGAGACACTAAGATTTCCATTTTCAGGTTAACTAAAGAAGTTTTGACTCTCAACTTGGATGTTTTTCATAACATCTTCCAAATGTACCACTTTCCATATGGACCACTTTCCATTTGTTTGGGGACAAGAGTGCTGTAAGCTTCAGCCTCAAATTAGACACAGCAGTAAAAAAAAATGAAATTGGCAGGTCCATGGCTTAAAAGTAGAAAATTTAGAATGTTTTCCAAACTATAATAAACCACAGCAACCGCAAAATGTCATATCAAATCATGGGGGACAAGAAGAATTTGAGTGTTATGATAGTAAGATGAGATAGGGTTGGTCAAAAAAATTGGTGTTGGGGTGAAAAATAAGGAATTGTGGGAAGTCATTTTGACACTATGTTATATGCTCATAATGCAAATTTTGTTACGAGTGTTTGAGTTCGAAAGGAATTGAATTTCAATTCATCAAACACTGATCTATGTTGAGCTGTTGCAGAGTGATAAGAGAAAGTAATGTAACATGTCACTACTAATGTGAGTGATTCAAAACCAGGTTTTAATGTATTATGAATTGTGTAAAAAAAATAATTTCTTGTAATACTGGTGTCCTTTCTAAGCTTCGTCACTTTCTTAACTCTTTCTCTTTGGTCTTATTATATAACACACTTATTCTTCCATATCTCTCCTACTGCAATATCGTCTGAGCGAATTCAAGTAGTCGCAAATTGCATTCTTTATTTGTCTCTCAAAAACGTGCCATTAGAATATGCACTCTCTCACACCCTCGTGCTCACAGTGCACCCTTGTTTGCACAACTTCGCATCCTTACTGTCTTTGACATACATAAACTTCAAACTGGTATCTTCATGTACAAATTCTATCGTAACCTCCTCCCTTCCAGTTTTGCCTCTTACTTTAGATCTATTGAAACTGTTCACAGCTATTCTACTAGATCCCGGGGTAATCTTTATATTCCTTTCACTCGTACCTCTTATTCAATGCACAT